AAGCTATAAAATTACATTTGAATTGGGATATACAACGAAAGTAACAAAGGAAGATATGGAGTGGACCGATATATCCCATCTTCACAGCAGATCTTATATTAGTATAAATAATGGGATGTGTGATAAATAAAGAAGCGTATATTATTTCGGATCTTATAATCGTTTTGGCTATTCAAGACGTTGACGCTTTATGGGGGAGGTACCAGAAGGAATGGTCCGATATCTACCATATTTATAAGAGATCTAGTATTGATAGAAATATTGAGATGTGCCAAGTCTGAATGGAATATGATATTAATTTCACGTTTTATGAGCTTCGTGGATATTCAAAATTCGGACCCGTTGTGGGGGAGGTACCATATACGATATATTTCATCTTTACACCAGACCTTTGCTTAATAAAATTACTGAGATGTGTATAATTTGAAGACAATCGGACTGTTACATCCCATTTTATAAGAGTTATAATTGTTCAAAATTTTGAACATTAGGGAGGTACTACCGATATTGTCAGTTTCGCACTGACCTAGCACTGATGCAAATATTAGGACTTTCAAAGTTGGAGTAAGATCGGATTATCCTCTCTCTTTCTATGCAGTACAATATTTTTTTGAAATGTTTGACCTTTTGCGGGGGAGTTACCAGAAGGAGTGGACCGATATTGCCCATCTCCGAACTCGATCTAAGTTTGATAATAATATTACGATGCGCCAAGCTTGGACCAAATTGGATACTCCTTGGAGAGTTATCGTGCACAACAGCCAGCTGGACGGACGGGCATCGCTAGATCGATTCCAAATATCCTGAAACGGATTTGGTCCCATGAGACCTAGGGTCCTAAACCGTTATTTCGATGAGGCACGTTTTGGCTGTATCAAATGATATATACCCTCTGTAGCCATATGACTGAGGGTATAAAAATTTACTTTAAAACGGGACTTCGAGGATAAAGATTCGTAGTCCACATATTATTAAAAGATTGAATCATCATCGCCCAGGCAAAATGGCTGAAGCTAATATGTCAATACTCTGCATCTAAAAAAATATCTCACTCATCTGCACAAAAAAAATCGCACTTTAAACCTACTAACTACTAAGCGATCGGTGAATGCTAGAAATCTAAGTTGTGAAAAAATGTACTCTTAGAGTAGTGTTGGAGAAAAATTGCAGATTTTTTGAAAAAAATGACTCCAAAGGTACGAGTAGTATTAAAGTACAACATGCGTTACTGAGTTATTAGTGGGAGATATTGGGGTCATACTTTGTGCAGTGACATTTTTCCTGTAGCTGAAAAAATTAAGGTAAAGGTCAACCAAAAATTAGCGAAACTAAGGCTAAAGCTGGGAAAAATTAATTTGGAAATATTTCAGTCAAAAAGACCTGATTTTGTACAACGTGAGATTTTATTGGGCAATTAAATTTCGTTGAATTCAATAACATACAACTCGATTTTTCTTTTCTTTACAATTATTATTTTTTCGAAATAAATTTGTTATTTTTTAAACTTTCTCTTATTGCCGGATGTGCAATATAAAATCTCTACAATGTTTTATTTGATGATTATCTATCTTGCCCTACAAGTGTACTATTTAATAGAATCAATTTTAATTGGGATACACCATTATCCAAAGCGACAATATAAAATTCTAATTAATTTTCCCATTTATTAAAATATAAGGATTATTAACACATCCACATTCTTGGATGACCACAATACCGGTTTTCAGTATTTAAACTAATTAAAAATATAATTATTTAGATACTCCAAAAACACTAACAATGTCCAACTAAGACTAACTCAAGTGTCATAATGCTCTCACATACAGCTACATTTTATAGGAATCGCATAAAGTATGCACAGATACCTTAGTCTTCCTCTTGCGCTCTCTCTCCCTCTCTCGCTCTTTATCGTTACAAAGTAAACAGAGACATTATTGCGGTGCAAAAAACCCACACACATACATACCAAAAAAAAATAATCTACAATACCTCGGTGACACATTTATGATGGTAATGACTCCGCAAGCCATAACATTATTTTATTATGATTTGTATGCGTCCGCCATTGGGAGAGTCGAATGACGGCAATGTACGCGGAGTATGGGCGAATGTTCATTTACCACTTTATGTTCGCAACAGCAGTGACCGGCTGGTTGCTTTGGCAACGCAGCTACCAAAGGCAATATATATGGAAGCCCGGTTCTTATGCTGGTCAGCACGAATGACAAAATTTTTTTTTCAGATGTAATGAGCAATTTCACTTTCATTTCTTTATGCAGATCATAACTGTTTTAAAATGTATATACATTTTGAACAAAGTTTGAGGTTTAATTCTTGGAAAATTATAATTAACTATTTTAATAGTATAATTTATATCATAACTTTGTTCATTTGATTATCACTTATATTAATAGATACAGTTCGGGAGAAAAATAAAATACAATAGCAATTGAAGTTGATTATAAGTATGGGACGAACAAATTATAAGAATACCTTTTCGGAGAATTTAAGACTCAATCTTCGAACCATGCAAATATATTTGTGGGTAGATGGACACTTCGAGTATGATTAATTATATTATTAAATAATACATCATACGACACCGAGTCCAGAAATTAAGATTAAGAACTAATTTAGAAGAGCAATCTGGTCTATAATTTGTAAAAAGTATACATTTTGTGATTTTCAGGCAGTTTTTAGGAAGGACTCTCTAGACTACATTAAGAAGATTATATTACATTTGTGGCTATGGCTGTGATTTTTTAAAGAATTTTTGAAAAAAAAAATACCACAGATTTAGATTTTAGAATAGAATTTTAGAATTTTCATAGTATATTTAAGGAAGCCGTAATATTGAAAAAAACTAAATGTTTTAAGAATAGTTTGGGAAGTCCTTTTAGGACCTCAATCGTAATTTTTATACCTTTCACCATATATGTTATGGAGGATATATTAATATATAGTTATAGTTATTTCCGACCGAAAAGAAAAAAAAATATATATATATATGGCATGTTATAGAAAGCTAAGATTTTGAATAGCGTCGTCGTTTATCTGCCGGCAGGTCAAGATCGAAAATATGGTACATTGGTCAACGTTTTCCTATAGTTTCCACATAATTGTACCTCCCAATATTCGGTTTTTGACGATATTTGCCATCAATTCTATCGAATATTTTAAAAATCGATGACAAAAATTGTCCTCGCTGGTCCACACTTCCATACAGGGTAAGATAAAATTAAATTTTTATTGAATGAAAGCAAAAAATGTCGGAAATAGCATCAAATTTTAGAATAAATTTAGATTTGTTCAAATTGGTCACCTTTGGCACGTAATATGGCCTTCAAACGGCCAATGAAACCGTCACACGCTGCCCCAATGTTGCTCTACAGTATTTTGGCCCATTCCCGGCGAAGCGATTGCTTGAGGTGATCGACACTTTGGTATTTTTTAGTGCCAACCTTGCTTTCCAAAATACTCCAGACAAAGTATTTCAACGGATTTTTATCCGGAAATTTTGGTGGCCATTGTGCGCTGGAAATGAAGCGAGGAACGTAATTTTGTAAACATTCTTGGTTGGCGCGTCCAGTCCTGTTGGAATGTCCAAGGTCTGCGGCCAAAATGTTTGCGTGCCCAAGGCTTTAATACACTTTCCATAATATTTTCGCTATAATATTCGGCATTTATTCTGATGCCACCGTCGATTGAGTTCTGGTGGCCAACCGAAGGTGCACATTTTCTGCGACCTATTTGGCAGAGTAAACACAATCATTTTGTTTGTGGACGGACATCGAAGGTTTTCTCATCGGAGAAAACCAAATGCGGCAATTTACCACCTTCGGCAAAGCGAAGCAACTCTTTAGCTCTTTTGAGTCTAATTTCTTTCTGTAGCGGCGTAAGTTCTGGCAGTTTTGGAATTTCAATGGCTTTACCCCGAGCTCATTTTTCAATATTTGACGAATGGAGTATTGCGATATGTTCAGCTCACGAGCCATATTTCGGCCAATGCGACTCGGTTTTCGATCAAGTCGCTTCTCTACATTTCGAACCATTTCTGCTGATATTGCTGTTTTCTTCCGTCCACTTCCTTGACGTCGGGCTACGCTACCAGTATCACGGTAACGAGCGATGGTACGGGACACAAAAGATTTATTGACATTTTAATGCTGTAGTGCTCTAACGATAGCCACTTGTGGTTTTCCAGCCAAATATAAAGAAATCACACTATCACGCTTGAATTCCATTAAGAATAACTTTTTTCCGGAATATTCTCACCAAAATGCTTTTGCGTGCTTGTAAACAATATAATGAGCTGTTACTGGAATAATTTTAACAGGTGTCGGACGAGTGGCTTAAAAATGACAGCAGTCTGAAGTTGGTTGCAGTTTTTTCATCTCCCACTGTAAGTGATACTTAATTTGGTATTGGATGAAGGGACAGAATTGGAATCTCGAATTTGATATCAAGGTGTATTATGATAATACGAAGGGTACAATTTTTGTTATTGGTTGAAGGAATAGAGCTGAAATCCTGAAATTTTATGTAGAGGTGGAGGTGTTTTTGTAATGTGTGCTATATAAACAAAAAGTACTAAGTTGTGCTAGATTTGGTATAGGGTACGGCAATATGGCTGGAGTACTGAAACTTGATTTTGAGGTCTGTTATGAAATTAGGTTTTCCACCCTATAATTGTTCAAAAAGTACTGAGTTTTACTAAATTTGGTATGGAGTGAAGGGAATGGACTGGAACATGAAGACCGGCATAATATTTTGTCCCAAATGCCCTATTCATATATTCATGAAGATTCGTACTTAAACATAATTATTTAAATCTTCAATAAACCCCTTAAATTAGCTACACTTTTCTCTTATACCGTAACTTTTATAGTTACATAAAATCTCTATACGACAAATACAAAAATCTCATTACCTTAACCAAATGACACCCACACAGCAATCTAATATCATACTATTTCCCTTTGTTTTTGCAATTGTTGTAGATGAAAATTGGGCATTACCAATGGCCATAGCTGCCAACATGCATATCCCATACAAAATTGAAATCGGAGAAGATGATGTACGTGACCTGCATGCGGAAGATCACTTTGGCAAAGGTAAGTGCGCAGTGACAATCATTCACACGCACGCACGAGCGCACACACACAGCCACCCACACAGGAATACATACGCACACAAGCAAAGAATGCTGGACATTTCTCCTTTATATGTAAATTTCATTTTCAATCGAGCAAATCTTCTCATTACGACCGGCGTGGGTGTGTGTGTGGGTAACAGCATTTGTTGTTTGTCTTGTTGTTGTTAATGAATCCGTTGTCTCTTTGTGTTGCAGCAATTATCATTACGGCACCAATGAACGATGACAGCACTCTAAGGCTGCTAAGCCAATTGGAATCCTTGGCCCACACCAAGGTGCTGCTCATTGACATTGTGGCGACATCGTTTAATGCCGAGAATCGCTTCTACAGATATCTGACACGTATTAATCCCGAATCGGCCCTAATGTCCAATCTGCTGCTGTTAACCGTGTTGAGTGACAACTATCGGCATTTCCTTAATGTGGCATTCGATGACAATGGCATTAACTTGGTGCAGAACTTTCGCCAGAATCGCAAACGCAAGGAAGTCCAGCAAAACGCACAGTCAGCTCCAACGGATGATGGCAGCAGAGGCGATTGGCCCATTCATTTGGACAAATCGGTAACAAAGGTTCTGCATTTAAGGGAAAACGAAATTAATGACACCACAGGCCAAAGTGGCCATGAAACTCCAGCCGAAGGCAATAAAACAGCTGCAAATGCCACTCATCATCATAGCCATCATCATCATAGCCATCATCATCATAGCCAGGATTACAATGTGAGCGACAAATTACAGCTGTTGTACGAATGGCTATTACCTTGTCCATACTTGAACAAATCTCGTCAGGATTTAAATGATATTTGCCAAAACTATCAGCAATGCCTGGACGATACGGTGGGCTCGCCCTCAAATGAAAGCCTCAACAACACCGTGGCAGAATTGTGCCGCCCACACTTCAGGGAATTTGATGAACAGCGTTTAATAGAGAAACTTCGTAGTTTTATAGATTTTTTCAACTTTTACGATTTTCTAATTGCCAACATTGTACCAGCCACACCACCACGGCCGGTGAAGGACGCGGCAAGTGACACGGCAAAAAGTTTTGCTAAACCCTTAATTAACGAATCGGAACATGTGCCAAAATACGACTTCATTGTACTCGATGTGGTGCGGAAGGGGGCGACGCTAACAAGTCCTATATCCGTTGTGTCAAAAGCCACAGGCAGCAACGGCGGAAGGCAAAAAAGTTTTAATGCCAATGCCAACAATGCCAGCGACACCGCGAAAACCACCACCAACACCAACGCCAGCAACAATGACAGGAAGCATTTGAAAACTTTATCATCGGCCGCCGACGTCGGTGGTGTCAATGCAACAATGCCTGGCGCACGATCTGCAGCCGCCTTCAAATGGCGACCCCTGCTGATACTGGAGCAGCACGAAATCCACTTGAAGACATACATCACCCACTCAATACGGCCGGGCTACGATGATTGGCTTTTGGTTAGCACGGCCCAACTTTGGCAATGCGGTTCGATTTGTTGGACGATTATTGCCATCTCAGCCTCGCTGTTGATGGCAATAATCTTGGCGAGTGTGGCTGCCGGTATTGCCATGCGGTGAGTACTTGAACAATAAGAACAACACCAACAACACCAAAATAATAATATTTGGTTTAGGAGGAATCAAAAGTGAACTCAAAGCGAACTCAGAGAGAGATCACAAAGTTTGGCAATTTCATGAAAATAAAAGTTTTTTCTCAGGTGCTGCACTTGATGTGAAATTGAGTTCGTCGAAGAAGAAGAAAAGCGGTTATTAAAAGATATTTGATAAATGTTTTGTGAGGATATTAAATAGTTTGAGATGAGATAAAATAATAAAAAAAATTCTAAAATATCAAGTGGATACACGTAAAAGTAGATACAAAAATTAAAAAAAACTATGGTAAACACAGGAAATTTTAAATTAATTCGGAAGAATTCGAAGTTCTAACATTTGAGATAACCATTACATGAGCGTATGCCAAAACTTAAATTCGTAATGAATAAAAAATACTGAATTTCTTCGGTATATCTTTTGAGGGATACGATGTTGAAATAGACCATTAGGTTTGATAGATGCTTATAATTGAGGGTGCACTTAAATGGGGGGCTATTCCAAAACATGGAATTTTCAATCCTTTATCTGTCATAACAATATGGTTCAAACCTGGCACTTTTCAATATTTGTATCATATTTATTTAGGTCCGATGTGAAATGGCCCATTCTACTCCGTAGAGAGTAAACAATCTGAATAATCTTAACAGAAGACAAAATATATTTAAATAATCGAACATTTGTTGAGGATACACTTCTGTCGGAAAAACCTTCCGATACTTTGTGTTGTTTTGAAGATTAGTACTTTTCGTATCTTTTTAATACGAATTTCCAAGAATACCCATTTCGATTAGAAATTTGAAAAGCAATAATCAATTTCCTAATATCAATATTTAGCACATTTTAGTACTTTTTGCGCCCATTTTATACCTTCCACCATGCTATGGAGGCTATATTAACTCCTCGAAATACTCATGAAAGACCCAACAAATTATATATATTCTGGATCAGCGTAAAATTCTATGTCGATTTAGCGATGTCTGTCTGTCTGTCTGCCCCTCTGTCTGTTGTAATCTTCTTTCGAACGAATCGAGATAGAAGGCTAAAATTTTGCACACATATTTATTTTGCCAGTAGGCAGGTTAAGTTCGTAAATGGCCCATTTAGGTTCACGTTTTCATATAGCACCCATACAACGATATCTCCCTATATTCGGTACTTTGATGATTTTAGCAACATTTTTCATCGGAATTGTTTCAAATTTGGTTTTTGAAGTTCGTAATGGATACTACAGCCTATGACAGAAAGTTGTCTATGCAGGTACAGGTCTTCGTATAGGCTTCTCAAATCAGTACCTCCCTATTATCGGTATTTTGACGATTTTATGTACAATACACGCCGAAATTGTTTGAGATGTCGTATTTGAAGATCGTAATGGATGCTACAGCCTGTGACAGAAAATTGTCTATCCAGGTCCAGGTCTTCGTATAGCTCCGATGTACGGTACCTCCCTATGTACGGTATATTGATGATTTTAGCTACATTATTCACCTTTTTTTCAAATTTCGAATTTGAAAATGATAATGGCTTATGACAACAATGCCTATGTAGGTCCACGTCATATAGACCCCAATATAACGGCTATATTCTACATTTTTAATATTGTAACAGAATTTTTAACAATTTTTATTTTTTGAAAATTTCCAAATTCGTTCAAATGATGGAGGGTATTCAAAGTTAGGCCCGGCCGAACTTACTGCTTTTTAACTTGTTAATCTTCATCTCTTTTTATACCCTACACCACAAGGTGGTCAGGGTATTATGTCTTTGTGCATTTGTTTGTAACAGGCAAAAGGAAACGAGATAGACCCATAGTTCCTTTTGATGATCTGCATAGAATAACATTCTGAGTCGATTTATGCATGTCCGTCCGTCCGTCTGTCCATGTATTTTTGTAAACAAAGTACAGTTCGCATTTATTACCCTATTATGATGAAATTTTGCACAAATCATTTGTTTGGCCCAAGGACGAACCCTATTGAAATTGGAGATAATCGGTCAAAATTTAGATATAGCTCCCATATATATCTTCGTCCGATTTGCCCTTTATTGTGCACCAAACGTGTAATATCAGTCCGAATAGTATGGAACTTTGCACGTATGATCAGATTGGACCTGAAAATAAGTATGCCAAATTTGATCGAAATCGGTTCAGATATAGCTATAGCTCCCATATATATTGTTCATCCAATTTGTTATTTTTGTCCTCCGCAGCCGTAATATGCACTCTGTAACAACAATATTTGGGGAAATATATCAAATACATCTTAGAAATACATTTGCTAAATTTTATCGAGATCGGTTCAGATTTGGATATAGCTCCCATATATAACTTCGTCCGATTTACCTTTTATTGTACACCAAACGTCTAATAGTTGCCCAAATGGGATGAAATTTGGCACTTACGACCGAATTGAGTCTAGAAGCTAGTACGTTAAATTTGGTGATGATCGGTTCAGATATAGCTATAGTTCCCATATATATTGTTCATCCGATTTGTTATATTTGTTACCCACAGCCGTGGCACTCCGTAACAACGATATTCATGGAAATATATCAAATACAGCTCAGAAATATCTTTGCCAAATTTTATCGAGATCGCTTCCGATTTGGATATAGCTCCCATATATATCTTTATCCGATTTCAAATTAATTGTGCACCAAATGGGTAATACAAGTCCGAAAAAGATACAAATGCTTCGGCATATTTAGCCCATTGAACTTTAAATTATAATTATAATCATAGCGTGTATGATTGATTTTAATTGTTATGCGCAGCTCTACTAAATTAGGAAAGTGGTGTAGGGTATCATAAAGTCGGCCCCGACGTACTTAAAGACTTTCTTTACTGGTTTATTTTATTTTTTATATTTATTTATTTATCTATTTATTTATTTTTTTTTTTTTGTTTTTGTTATAGAAACCCTCAAATACAAAAGTAGAGGTCTTCCGTTTTATAGAACCTTTCGCGCCAAAAAAAAAAAAAAAAAAAAAAAAAACAAAAAAAACGATTCTGGCTTCCTCATTCCTTCACGATTTTGATGATTTAGTCTCTGAATACAAATTCTTTAAGGCTCTTCCATATTTTATATATAAAACATTCTACTTTCTACAGGCATTTTATGCACGCCTTTAAAACCTTCTATAGGTCCTCTATATAGAGGATCATATAAAGTTTCTTTCATAGACTCTATATATGTCTGCAATACGGAGAAGAGGTCTCCTGTATATAGAAGATATATATTCAAGTAACATTTGAAATAGTTAGGTTCCACAAGAGGTTAAACAAGGCCCTTCGTAAGAGTATTGCCCTGCATTGGTGTCATGTACAAATCAAACAAACTATAACATTTCTTACAACATAGTATTATCACCGCCAATTTTATAAAGCTCTTATTGAAAATGTGGCTAGAGAACCTAAAACACCCGAAGCCGGTCTGTACCGTTTTTTGAGGCTTTTTGTAGAGTGAATATAAAATTTAAAAATCGGACAGACTTAAGAATCATGCTAGATCTATATTATACTTTCAATTTCCATAATGATTATTTCGAAATATTACAAACCGATGCTAAGATTTAATGACATTCAAATGGTCCTTAAAATATTTGATATCATATTTTTAAAAGCATTCTCAAATACAATATCTAGTACTCTAAATTGAAATAAGGACATTGTTTGTATTCATATTCCAATTCCTAGTTCTAGAAATGCTACTTGGAATCCTTGCTTGAAATATGTGTGATTAGTTTCACATAAAGTCAATAGGAAATGGCCTCCCGGTTAATGTCAGTATAGTTTTCCTTTGAAATAAATTTCATCATAAATACTTTACTGCCTCACCCCCATACACATATATGTTTTTCATAAACTTATACATACATTTGTTTATCCTTTGTTCTGTATGTTACTATTTGTATAAACAACAACATTTCTTGCACTTTATCTATTCCAGTAGCTGTGATATACAAATACTCTCCACTGTATGTGTGTGTGTGTGCGTTTGTTTGAAAAACCCCTCTTCATTCATTGTATGAGCATAATTGTTCTTGTTGTATTTTATGTTTCCACTAAAAGAGGCTCTTTTGTCTTAACTTAATTTTTTATGGGCCTTTTGTTATTTTATTTTGTTATTCTGTCATATCACAACAGCATTTACTACTAAACCACAGAGTAACGCTCACACACTAACACACACGCATGCACGCACACACACACCGACACACAGATGAGTAGCCACTTTTACAGCCATAATGGCATAGATGATAGTTATGATCTCTCTTTTTTTGTGTAGTCATCTTTTATGTGTGAGTGAGTGTGTCGGTGTAGTGGTCCAGGATAACAGCTCATGAGTTGAAACAAAGTTTTAATAACCGTTATAATACATAAACCATTCAAAGAGTTTTGAAAAAAAAGTGAAAGTATAATCTCTGGCATAATTATTCTTGACAAGGAGAATAAAAGGAAATCCTGAAAAAAGACTAACAGAGAAATTTTGTAATGAACGAAAAGGCAAGGTAATAAAATGATGATATTCAACGCATAGAGAGAGAGAGGGGAGTGTGTTTTGATAAGATTTTTAATCTGAGGATTTAGACACAACACAATGAGAGAAGTTTTGATGATATCAGGTAAAGCATTATCTACATTAACCCAGCAAGGTCCGATTATATCCGAAAAAAGAAATTTAAACAGTCATTTAGAGGCCTTTGTTTCACACAAAATAAAATCCATGTGGTACATAATAATAATTCTAGTAGTATTTCCAAAATTATTATATTTGGAAATACTTAAAAATTGTGAACTCATTCGCTTATCAAATTTAAGGAAATTAGAATGGAATAGGACTCGTATGGAACTAAATATTTAACAACAGCTTCCACGCCTGTTTTAAACGTTTCCTAAAATATTTTCTCTTAGATCATAAGTAGTTTTTGTTAGTCATTGAAGAGCTTTTTTTCTACCTCGAGCTAAACGCATTTCTACATCATTGTCTCGACATTCTATAATGCAAATTGTCTCTTTATGTTGAGTGGATCATCCCTTTTGGCTCCATCCGCTCCCCTTCACATTTATTTCCACGTTTTTACCGCAATATAACATTCTCAAAGGCTTTACCGCAACAAAGAATATATTTTTGGTTTGTAACCTTGGTAGTCTCTTTTTATTTTTTTTTTTTTGCAGCGAATGGGCATGCAGACACCTGTTGGGATGCTATGCCTTCGAGCCTTCGCACAGCAACCAAACGTTACGTGGTATTTACATTTTTATATATATAACCGACCCCCAGAGAGATTGGCTCGACGCGTGACAATAATTCGATGAACTTTGTTGACATTCGTTTGCGATTTGTTGAGACACGTTGTTGTATAATATGAGTGTTCACATATAAATGCATATGTATATGTGTGCTCATGGAAAGGAAAATGTGTGCCAAGAAAGTTTTGATGCCGAATAATTTATTGATGTAAATTTATGAAGGGTTAAATAGTCATACCATAGACTTCATAGAAAGTCACTCGTTTTCTAAAGGTAGAATATAGGCAGAACTTTTCACAGGTCATCAAGAAGACCTAAGAAACTATCTACAAGTTTTCTATGCATAGAATATCTTTTATAGATATCCCCTAGATGGAGGACTTGTAAAGGGTTTTTTAGATAGAATACCTCCCACAAGTGCTATGGATATAGGACCTCCTCAGGTCTTCTAAAGATAGAAGATCTTCTACATATATTCTTAGATACAAGACTTTCTACAGGTCTACTAAAAATGAAATAGCTCTTACATGCCGTCTATGGTAAAGAGACCTAATACAGGTTTTCTTTGAAAAGAAGGACGTCCACCGTTTTCTATATATTGAGGATCTTCTACAGGTCTTCAATAGATAGACAACCTTCTTTATATCTTATATATAGAAAACCTTCTTCAATGAACATAAAACCTTCTGCAGGTACCAAAACCGACATGTTATCTATATCTAAAAGATTTTCTATGGATCTTCAATGATAGAAGAACTTCTTCAGGTTCCAAGATATAGATGGAAAACATGCAACTAGTCTACAAATAGAAAACTTCTGCAGGTCTTCCATAGATGAAAAATTTGACGACGATGACTGGGTCTCCATTTCACCGATGTAGAATTAGTGGGTACACTACACACACGATCCCAATATGGTAATTTTAATACTCTCAGCCATATGGGCAGAGAGGTTATATATCATTCGATACGGTCAAAATGTGCCACATCAAAATAACGGTTTTAGACCCTAGGTCTCTTTTGACCAAATCCGTTTCAGGACATTTGGAGTCGATCTAGCGATGTACGTACGTCCGTTTGGATGGTTGGTGTGTACAATAACTCTCGAAGGGAATTTCCGATTAGATCCAAACATGGTATATCGTAATTATATTTTAAAACTTAGATCGAGTTCGAAGAAGGACAATATCGGTACACTCCTTTCGGTACCTCCCCCACAAAAAGTCGAAATTTTCCAAAAAAAAAAAAAAAAAAAAAAAAAAAAAAACAGAAAAAGAAAAAGAAAGGATAATCCGATTTTACTCCAACTTGAAAAATCTAATATTTTCATCAATACTACTTCAGGTGCAAAATTGGACAACATTTTGAATATCCATGGAGCTCTTAAAACGGGAAATGAACATCTGATACCATGCAGACTTAATTTCAATGTTTACATCAACACAAGATCTGTTATAAAGATGATAATAGAATCGGACCACTTCTTCTGGTACCTCTCCTACATTGGGTTCGAGATTATGAAAAGTAAAACGTTCAAAGAAAGCGAGATAGGCATCCAACTGTCTTCACGCATATTTCAACATTTTCTAAAAATTACCCCATAAAATCAAAGGAGTATTCAATATAGTCCAAACCTGGCACATCGTAATATTTTTTTTATCATTTTTAGTTTGGTCCGATACGAAATGGACAATATTGGCCCATTCCTTCAGAACCAATTCCATATAGGGCCAACAATTTGAATGATCATAACAGGAGTAAAAATAAACTCCATATGGTGGTTCATTTTGGTGCATATCCCTACAAAAAAATTCAAAGTAGGACCAGGTTTTGCAAAAACCCCCACATAAAACCTGTCCCTCAGAATGGTATTTTGAAGGTTCCAACTACATATTCCAAGCGAAAAGTCTGAAATTTGGTTCGTACCTAAAAGTAAACTATATCACGGAAATAATTGGTATTTTTCATAAGTTCTGCAAAATTGTTCATTTAGAGTTACAACCACTTTTTATACGTAGGGCCAACCGAAGTGTCAAGAAGTAAGGATTTTTTTTGCAGGAGGTTTATGCAAATTTCGTCCGTTTGTTCTTAAATCGGGTTTTATCTGTAGCTAATTTTTTTTATCTTCAACGTTCTTTTTTCAGAAACTATTTACTTCGCAAACGTCTATCCAAAGGACCCAATAAAATTGTACTCTCCTCAAATGATTTCGTGTTTCCTGTGGACTCGAGAAGGGTAAGTGCTCCATAAAATGATTTCCATAAGGTCACTTAGTTTCATTATTTTTGCAATAAGAATTATAATATGTTGATATTCCTCCCTTTTCAGGTCGACGAAGGTATTGAAGCCATGCTCTGCTGTTGGCTTCAACAGCTGCAGGAGTTCGGTGGTCCCGAAGTAGATAAACCAGATCTATTAAAGGGTTCCATTGGTTCACTAAAGAACTTGGGCTTCCTCATACCCGGCGCATCGGGACCCACCCAAATCAATGGTCTAAATGGAAAAACCAGCTCAGGATCGGCCAGTTTGGCCCGGCTCAATCCAGCCCTCTTGGATATGAGAGCACGCTACAATGGTGATTTGGTACAGCTCAAAGAAATCCCCCTCAATGGCTCGACCGAATTGAAATCCAAAGCCATGGATCTACTGGTTATAGCCCATGGTCTGAGACATGAAAATATAAATCCTCTCATCGGCTGGCTATCGGATCCCAGCCGCACTGCCATGGTATTTGATTATTGTTCACGAGGCTCGCTGCAAGATGTCCTCATCATGGATGAAATCAAATTGGATTGGTCTTTTCGTCTGAGCCTGCTCACCGATTTGGTGCGTGGCATGCGTTATTTGCATGCCTCACCGTTGCGCGTTCACGGCACATTAACGTCACGTAATTGTGTGGTCGATGCACGTTGGGTACTCAAAATAACCGATTATGGTCTGCCTCAATTCTATGAGGCGCAGGGTTTGCAACAGACACCAAGAACAGCCAAGGAGATGTTGTGGTGTGCCCCCGAACTGTTGCGGGCAATCAAACCGCATTCGCATCACAACCATCATCACTCGCGAATGGTGGCCACCCAGGCGGGTGATGTCTATTCGTTTGGCATTATTATGCAGGAGGTTGTGGTGCGGGGTGAACCCTACTGTATGCTGTCCCTGTCGGCCGAGGAGATAATAGCGAAAATTAAAAAACCGCCACCACTCATAAGGCCATCTGTGTCGAAGGGTGCAGCACCGCCGGAAGCAATAAATATTATGCGTCAGTGTTGGGCCGAACAGCCGGAAATGCGGCCAGATTTTAATTCGTAAGTATTGTTCTGCATAAATGGTATTAACTATGTGTTTAAAAAAAAAGATAAAGACGATTGGGCGACTTATTAAGGAAAAGGCGGAAGGGTTGGGACTAGAATATGAGCATTTGTCTTGGTGGGAAGGGATATAATAGGTTTTGTAAATGCACACTTTAAAAGTACGAAAATTACTGAAAGGTACAGTATGCCCCCTCTATTTAGTGGAGGAGTCACACTATGTGTTGTGAAGTGTGATAAGGCGGGTTTTTTTTTTCGAAAATTCGTACTTTTTCATATTTATTTTTATATGTAACGATACTTTCCTGTTTATTCTTCTCTTACATTTCCGTTTTCAAATATGCACTCATTTTACGTCTCTCTCTCTCTCTCTCTCTCTCTCTTTGTGAAATATGTCCTTTAAAATGTTAACAACACAACGGATTGATGTACGATTTCAATGTCGCCGCCATAAATCGATGACATGACTATAATGACGATGATGAATGTCCTGATGATTCTCCCCATCATAAATTGAAATCAATCGAAACAGAGTTTATGAACGTTTCAAATTATTAAATCATGGAAGAAAAGTAAATTTCGTCGATACAATGTTTCAAATGCTCGAAAAATATTCCAACAACTTGGAGGAGCTGATACGGGAGCGCACCGATCAATTGGATATGGAACGCAAAAAGACTGAACAACTTTTAAACCGAATGTTGCCAAGGTGGGTGGATTCAGAGGTTATTTGAAGTGAAGAATTTAATTTTGAATTTTTTAATTTCAGTTCCGTGGCTGAGAAATTAAAAATGGGGCTGGCTGTTGAACCAGAAGAATTCTCGGATGTGACCATCTACTTCAGTGACATCGTTGGTTTTACAACGATAGCTGCCCACTGTACACCAGTCCAGGTGGTGGATCTGCTCAACGATCTTTACACGATTTTTGATGCCACCATTAATGCTTATAATGTTTACAAGGTAAGAGGTGGAGTCAGACCCTCAATTTAAGACAAATCGGAAAATGTTGCAAAAATTTAAGAATATTGAAACTCATCTCGTCTCTTACAAGGGTCTTTAGCAAAGAAAGTAGTTTGCCTGTTTTAGGTGTACTTTCTTTATACCTTACATGTTTTATGTATTATGTAGCATTTATTTGTAACATGAAGAAGGAAGCGAGATAGACCCATAGTTACTCTTGAGAATCTTTACAGAATCACTTTCTGAGTCGATTTATGTATGTCAGTCCGTCTGTCTGTCCATGTATTTTTGTGAACAAAATGCAGGTCGCATTTATTATCCGATTAAGATGAAAATTTCCAAGCAATATTTGTTTGGCCCAAGCACGAACCCTATTGACATTTTAGAAATTTAGATATAGCTCCCATATATATCTTCAACCGATTCCGGGTTAATTGTGACCAAATTTGCCAATATCGGCCCAAATTACCTGAATTTTGGCACATTAGACCGAATTCAGTCTGGAAGCAAGAACATCAAATTTGGAGAAAATCGGTTCAGATATAGCTCTAACACCCATATATATGTTTGATCCGTAATCAGCCCAAATGAACTAAATTTTGTCACTTCCAACGCAAATTGGATAGATTTTTTCATATTCAACCGAATTTTTCCATTTCAAACTATCAAAAATGAGGTAGTTCCTCTATAGGATTTTTCCTGCAGGGTGGATCTTTTTAAACCCTGATTTAGGCTCATTTGGAGTTTTACGAGTTGCATTGCTTTTCAAAACGTTGACGCGTTGTTGGGAAGGTACCAGAAGGCGTGGAGCGATTTATTCCATCTTCACTCCAGATCTTGTTTTGGTCCAAATATTGGATATAATTGTTACAAATGTTAACCCTTCGAGAGTTAGGTACTTGTTTGAGGTGGCCGATATTGTCCATTTTCACACCTGGCCGAACACTGCCAAAAACATTAGGATTTGCAAAATTTGCTAAAAATATATGGATTCCTTCTCTTTCTCTGGGGTAAATTGTTTTCTTTGAATTCTTTGACCTTTTGAGGGTGAGAAACCAGAAGGAGTGTAGAACTGATGTTGTCCATCTCCGAACTCGATCTAAGTTTGACAATAATATTACGATGTACCAAGTTTGGACCAGATCGGATACTTTTATCAAGAGTTTTCGTACTATCGACTCCAAATGTCCTGAACGGATATATTCCAAAGAGAATTAAGGTCTAGGTAGGTTCGTTGAGGCACGTTGTATATACCCTCTGTATCCATATGGTTAAGGGTATAAAATTTCATGTCTTCATTTTGACAGATAGTAGAAAAACTTTAAATTGACAGGAAAATTAAAAAGGGAAGAAGGCGTATGGTCTACTTTGTGGAAGCTATTTAAAATAGCTTTCCCATGCACCTTTGCTAACATTTCCTTTCCCCTCATACAGGTCGAAACAATTGGTGATGCCTATATGGTTGTGAGTGGCCTTCCCGTGCGAATACCGGATCATGCCGAACAAATTGCCACCATGGCCCTGGATCTGCTGCATCAAAGTGGGCGATTCAATGTGAAACACTTACCCGGAGTTCCTTTGCAACTGAGAATTGGCCTACATACGGGACCCTGCTGTGCAGGGGTAGTAGGTTTGACAATGCCACGATATTGTCTGTTTGGTGATACCGTCAATACAGCTTCGCGAATGGAATCAACAGGTAACTCGTTTAAAACTCTTCATTACAACATCAAATAAAACACCACATTTGCAGGATCCTCTTGGCGCATCCACATGTCACAAGAGACTCGTAACCGCTTGGAAGCCCGTGGTGGTTATATGATCGAACCCAGAGGCCTAATTGATATCAAAGGCAAGGGCATGATGAATACATTTTGGTTGTTAGGCAAAATAGGGTTTGATAAGCCCCTGCCAAATCCCCCACCGATCGGGTAAGTGTAGAGACTCTTTGGCTAACCCTTTATTCTACTAACATTACTAGTCTTTTACTAAATGCGGCAAATTATTGTTTGTGACAAAAATAAACAACAGAGAATCACATGGGTAGGTCTCCTACGAACAAAAAAACTATCTCCAGATAGTTTTGTTAATATCTTCTTTCCTTCTCTTTATCTCCCTCAGTTTGGATGAATCATTGATACGCAACTCCATTACCCTGAAAGCTCAGGCCAATAAATCACGCAATAGTACAAATCCCTCGTCCAGCCAATCGTCCTCCCTGGCGGGAGAATCCGTCGAAGTAAAAGTAGAAATAACACCGCCCACAAATGTGGAAGTCTCATCGCCCAATCTACCCAACTCATATTCATTGGATTCGAATTCGACCACCACCATCAGCCCCAACATGACATTGTGTCCGGAGTTTCCCATTAAAACGCCCACAACATCACCGCAACCGAGAAAAATCACCGATTTAGCTACCGATAATCTGCTGAATCCCAACAATTTCAATCGTCTACCATCCTCAACGGCAGGATCTTCCTCGCGGCTCTACAAGAAGTTGGAAGAAATGATGGATCTGAGTTCACCCTATAATCACTACAAATGTCTCAGTCCAAGCGAGAGCAACCTCACCCAATTCTATGACGGCAAATATTTATACGGCGCTGGTGGAGTTGGTCCAGCTGCCGCCATGCAGAGCAACAGCGGCAATTTACCAACCCAGGCAAGTCGTTTCGAGAAACCCGGCTCATCACGTCTGCTGCGACGTCAATTCAGCCTGGATCGTGATGACACGCATTCCAAGTCCGAACACCACCACCATCAACAACATCACCAGTCTTCCTTACAGTCCAACCACACCATGTCGTTGTCGAACAAGTCTTCAATGCTCGAGATTCCTATACTGCACGATACCTCAAGAAGTCCCAAGGGGACAATAAATCGAGTCCATAAACAAAATTCCAATTCCATAGCTCAGGATTTGGAGAAGATCGAGGAGATCCCCCTGTCGCCGGCCTCTTCACAACAGCACAGTAGTTTAGACAGCAACATGAATCGTAGTCCACCGTCCACAGTGGATGCCCAATCGCCGCCGCCACCATCGCAACAAACAATGACTGGAAAATCTCCGAGAAGAATGACGGGAGGGTACCTTTCATCTACATCGCCGCCTACTCTACTATCGGCACCAACATCACCGGCCCCTTCGCGTTCATTAAATGGTGGTCTACCCTTGCACAACAGTGTCATCATGGAAAGTCCCACCACAGATGCCTCATCGACGGCAACCACAACGGCTTCGGTTAATTCCAACACCACAGTTCCCATTGAAGATCACAGCAATATAAAGAAACCTGAAATTACTCTCAATGTTGAGGCATTACTGAGTAGGTAGGATACGGTTTAAATTCTCCCCTGCCATGGGGGGAAGGACGATAGTAAGTAAATGCAATTCCTCGACGGAATGAGGTTTTGAAAATATTTGAAAGAAAAATTTATGGCTGTTAAACGATCATAGCGCAACTAAACTAAACCGGATACATTTCGGAATATTCATTTCAATCACGGTTCCATTAAATATAAGTGTGACATACATTTTGAGTAGTGTTCCCTCAGAAGAAGATGGAAACGAATAACGGCACTCTGTAAATCAGGGACCTCCAATATATTTATGGGTTCAAATTATATATTTTAAATCATAGATCGAGGAATATATTATTTATATTTTTATTATTAATTATTATACTGATTGCAAAAGAAAATACATTTATTATCATTCCTTATTAATATTAAACATTACGACTTAAATGGAAATCAGAAAAGCTTTATTAAAACGGAAGAGTAAGAAGAGATTCGATTGGATAACAAGGCGATGGTACCTCACGCTGTAGTACAATGTTTTGTTTCAATTCGAAAATTTGTTGAACTAAAAAAAAATAGAAAAATGTTAAAAATATTTTCATTGTAATGTTGTAGTATGAACGATGTGTTTGTAAACGAGTCAATTTAGATAAAACAAGATTAAATATTTATTTTATTTTTATTGCAACATTTTTAGCCATTCTTATACTGTTTTCTCAAAGCTGTAGATTGAAATTACTTTCGGACCCTTTTCATCGAATGGAAAAGATTAAAACGTATCAAAAGTACAGCTGCCCAGAAAAAACTCATTCTCAAAAAATATATATCCTAACCAAGTTTGGGCGCCTAAAACTACTTATAAATCAGTTTACTCTTCCATTCCTAGGTAAACTACACGGTGAGATAAAAAAAACTGCAACAAAGTCAAACGCCATAATTTTTACATTTTTTTTTTAATTTTATCGAATGAAAGCAACAAATGTCGGAAATAGCATTAAATTTTAGAAAAAGTTTAGATATTTTCGAATTGGTCACTTTTGGCACGAATTATGGCCTTCAAACGGCTAATGAAACCACCACACGCTGCCCGAATGTTGCTCTGCGGTACTTTGGTCCATTCCTGGCGAAGTGCTTGCTTGAGGTGATCGACACTTTGGTATTTTTTAGTACCAAACTCGCTTTTCAAAATACTCCAGACACAATAGTCCAACGGATTGGTATCCGGAGATTTTGGCGGCCATTGTGCGCTGGAAATGAAGCGAGGAACCTCATTTTTTAACCATTCTTGGGTGGCGTGCTCAAGGCTTTAATACACCAGAAAAATTTCGCACTTATTCTGATCCCACGGTGGATTAATAGGAGCGGAGAGCGATCATCGGCTGTTACGGCCCACATCATCACCGTGGCCGACGCTTGAGTTCTGGTGGCCAACCGAAGGTGCACATTTCATTGTTTTCTCATCGGATAAAACCAAATCCGGCAGTTCACCACTTTCGGCCAAGCGAAGCAACTCTTTAGCTCTTTTGAGTCTATTTTCTTTCTGCTGCGGTGTAAGTTCTTGCACTTTTTGGAATTTCTATGGATTTACCCCGAGCTCATTTTTCAATATTTGCCGAATGGAATATTGAGATATATTTAGCTCACGAGCCATTTTTCGGCCACTGCGATGCGGGTTTCGATCAAGTCGCTTCTTTACTTTTCGTACCATTTCTTCCGATGTTGTTGTTTCTCTTCCGCCCACTTCCTTGACGTCGGGCTACTCTACCAGTATCACAATAACGAGCGATGGTACGGGACACAAAAGATCTATTCACATTTAAATGCTGGAATGCTCAAATAATAGCCGCTTGTTTTTTTTTTTTCAGCCAAATAAAAAGAAATCACGCTTGAATTTCATCACGAATAACATTTTTCTGGAAAATTCTCACACAAAATTCTTTTGTACGCTTGTAAACAATGTAATGAGCTGTCACTGGAATAATTTTAACAGCCGTCGGACGAATGGCTTAGAAATGACAGCAGTCTGAAGTTGGTTGCGGTTTTTTCATCTCAACCTGTAATTTCTGTAAACGGATATTTTTCCTAGTGTCAGAAATTATTGCTTCCAATTTGAAATAGTGCTTCACAATTTATAAATACACAATAAATTTAAAAAAAAGTCAATAGAATGTTCCCAACCCAGCATGAGACTGGACTGGACTTCACTTTTTTGACGAGGTGACATAGGGTAATTTTGAAATCCATATTCATGCAATTCACACATTTTCAATTTTTCCTGAATTTCACATTATCTGAGCTCTTGTTCCCTAAATCAAGCAAAAATCTCTTTAAAATACTAGGCATAGTACATAACAAAAATAGAATACATCAGCATACATACTTACATATTTACAAAAGAAAATAAAAAAACTACAAGAAAAAAAGAGGTGTTAGTTTCCTTTGATTCACATGACAATCGTTAACAAAAACCAAAAAAAAAAATGAAAACACTCTAAGTAATAACAAAATAGAATATAAACAAAAGATAAATCCATCCTCATCCCGGTCATTCATTACTAGACTCCTTCCTGAAATACTCACATATATACACACACACTCTCTCTTAAAACATATATATAGTCAATGTTACTTGTTAAGATTATAATTGTTAAGACTAAATAGTTTCTTTCTATATTTGCCCCCTCTTTGTCCTTTGCATGTATCCGCATAGATATATGGATATACGCACAAATTACTTACACATACACACACACTCGTGTATATGTGCATATGTATCTTTGTAAGATCCCAAGAAAAGGTATGCCTGTTTTTAAAACTACCATTAATAAAAATAAAAACATTTAGTTAACAACAATATGTGTATTACAAAAGGAAAAAAAAAAGAAAACTATAAAAATATATAAAGATCAAAACCAAATCTAAAAAATGATGAGTTATTTTGTATTGACAACAATAAAAAAACTATAACTAAAATCTAACCTTTTTATATATATTTGAAATATAAGCCAAAGAATTGTTAAACAAAACCAAATGTTTTCTATTTACTTAGTTTATCAATGACAAAGCCAAAGAAATCTAGAAAAGCAAAACATGGTCAATGAAGGGTCGATAATGAGTTGGTTCCAGCAGTATCATTAGATCACCACATAAGGATTCCGTTTTATTTGGGCTCCTTAAATTAAAAATAAAATTTAAATTAAATAAAGGCCAGATATGTAAACATGACCCAACAAAGAAAACGACAACTGATAAATCAATTCATTACTCCCTTCATTGGCCCAACAACAACCTGCTAAACATAAACAAACCCACCCAAATCCATTTCAATACTTCAGACCTGTTAACGCAACACAACTACAGCCAAATCAAAAATATTCTATAGAAGAGATCATTATTCCAATTTTTAATGTTAGTAAAATCAGTCCCTAAATAAATAAAAAATTTAAAACACGTTTATAACTTGAATAAATTCCGTAAAAATAAAAAAAAAACATATAAAACGTTTAGATTAACAAAGAAATTAAAGATGAAAAATGTAAACCCTATATAAAGTGAAAATTACACAAAATAAAAACAACAACAACAACACTAACATCGTAGATGAATGAAAAATAAAATTTGGTATTTTCTTTTCCAAGGGAGAAATATAATAAATAAAAATTGGAGTTTCCCCGAAACTCTTTGCTATGAAAAGGTAAGTATTTCAAGCATTAACGGCCAAATATAACTCCACAAGAGACCATTCCGAATTGTGAAAATCAGTCCAGCGGCTCGTGACTTATAGGCAGAATAGAGAAGATATATTTCTTTTACATAAAAATTGTGCCTATTTTGCTATATATCCCATGTCTTGGCTATCGGCATCACGTAAATGATCGGAAGTGAGCTTTTAATGTATTTGTGATTTGCCTGGGAAATAAAAATATTCGTGGTTTATTGAAAATTTTCGTATGTTTTGACATAAAAGTTTTAATTTATTTTACCCGCTAAATGTTGTCCGATGACCAAAATTATAGGCTTCTGTCCAGCCATAAACTCTAACTTCATGCAAAATTTCGTCGATTGGTTTATAATTGTGGCCTCTAGAGCAACAGCAAAATCTGTAATTTTTCTATTTTTGGTCCATTTTAACCCCTAATTATTTTGGGATCATCTCCAAAAACAATAGGCTTCTATTCTAACCCAAATGCCACCTCGATTTTTAATTAACATGGTCAGACGGAGGGACGGACGGGCATAGATAGCTAGATCGACTTAGCTCGGAGAGATATATATGGTTTCCTCGGTCGGGGACCAATATTTCGAGATGTTCCTTAATTTTTGGCCCAATCAAACTTATAATACCCCAACACATGGTGTTGTAGGGTATAAAAATATATATTAGAGACGAGTTCCACTAAATGGAAACCTACGTCCTGAAATTCAATCCATTTGGGCTGATATTAGCCATTATTTGCACAGTAAACCTGCAACCGGATTAAGGATATGAAGGACTTAAAGATCAAATCGGATGAAGCATATATATGGGAGCTAAAGCTATATCTGAACCGATTTTCACCAAATTTAATGTACTTGATTCAGGCCATTTGAACTGATATTAGACATTAAGTGCACAATTAACCCGAAATCAGTTGAAAATATATATTTGAGCTACAGGGTGAGATAAAAAAAATTTAAAATTTTTTCAAAATTTCATTCAATGAAAGCAAAAAAAGTCGAAAACAGCATCAAATTTTAAAATAAGTTTAGATTTGTTCGAATTGGTCACCTTGGCATGAATTATGACCGGCCAATGAAACCGTCACACACTGCCCGAATGTTGGTCTGCGGTATTTAGACCCATTCCCGGCGAAGCGCTTGCTTAAGGTGATCGACACTTTGGTATTTCTTAGTGCCTACCTTGCTTTCCAAAATACTCCAGACACAATAGTCCAACGGATTGGTGTCCGAAGAGTTTTTGGTGGTCATTGTATGCTGGAAATGAAGCGTGGAACCTCATTTTGTAACCATTCTTGGGTGGCGCATGCTGAGTGCGATGGTGCTAAGTCCTGTTGGAATGTCCAAAGCCTGCGGCCAAAATGTTTGCGTGCCCAAGGCTTTAACAAACCCTCCAGAATATTTTCGCAATAATATTCTAATAAAACAAGTGTTGTTCGAGCTTGAGGTGATTGCTGTTGCATTTCGGCATTTATTCTGATGCCACGGTCGATTAATACGAGCGGAGAGCGACCATCGGCTGTTATGGCGGCCCACATCATCACCGTGGCCGGCGCTTGAGTTCTGGTGGTCAACCGAAAGTGCACATTTTCAGCTGACCTCTTTGGCAAATAAACACGATAATTTTGTTTGTTTACAAACTGCTAGACATCGAATGTTTTTCGGAGAAAACCAAATTCGGCCAAGCGAAGTAACTTTTTGCTCTTTTGAGTCTATTTTCTTTCTGTTGCGGCGTAAGTTCTTGCACTTTTTGGAATTTAAATGGCTTTACCCGAAGCTCATTTTTCATTACTTGCCGAATGGAATATTGCGATATGATGAGCTCAGGAGCCATTTTTCGGCCACTGCGACAAGAGTTTCGATTAAGTCGCTTCTTTACTTTTCGAACTATTTCTGCTGATGTTGCTGTTTTCTTTCGTCCACATCCTTGATGTCGGGCTACGCTACCAGTATCACGGTAAAGAGCGATGGTATGAGGCACAAAAAATTTATTTACATTTAAATGCTGGAGTGCTCTAACGATAGCCACTTGTGGTTTTCCAGCCAAATATGAAGAAATCACACTATCACGCTTCAATTCCATCACGAATAACTTTTTTTTTCTGGAAAATTCTCACCAAAATGCTTTTGTACTCTTGTAAACAATATAATAAGCTGTCTAGTGAATAATTTTAACAGCTGTCGGACGAGTGGTTTAGAAATGACAGCAGTCTGAAGTTGATTGCAGTTATTTTATCTAACCCTGTATATGGTAAAGGTATTTCTGGGCTGTATCTGATATCTGGTGTCAAATATCATTGTTGTGGAGTGCAGATTGCGAATGTTAGGGACTGAAGGGGCTACTACGAAAAAGGAAACCATTCTGACATTTTCCTAAATCGTCATATTTTTGAATGCCATTGAGTTATAGTTATTATATTTCGATAATTTGGTCAGATTTTTTAACATATTTCCAATGTTCGGTCGACGAAGAGTTATTCGCAGATTGACCCAACGAAAGAACTTTCTTATGGATTAATTATGAGTGTAGGTTTGTTCGACCTATTTTCCAATATATTTAATAATAAGAGTTTTTTGAGCTTTAGGTTCCTTATGGATTTCCAGTAGCCCATACAAACTTGGAGCTGGAGCCACGTCACTTTTGACTTTTTTTCCTTTCAGCTGTCGTAAAAATGTTGTTTTTATAGTTCAGTTCATTATTATTTTTTTTAATATTATTCTTTTAAAATAAAAATATATGAAATTATTGATATCTCATTTGCATATCTTTTTTTTTAATATAATTAAAACATATTCTGATTTCTTTGTCTTCAATTTATTTTAGCCATTAATTTTTGTATCATAAACGACATCAACTCTTGATGTTCCATTTTCCTTAACACCCAAACTTGTAATCTCCTACAATGTCTTAATGATATCCTTGACAATGGAACGAAAAAGTCCGGTCAGGGTGCATTCATAACGTCTCAGTGACAATTGACGCAAGGCCAACAGCAGAGAACCAAAACGCAGCCAATTCGACTGTTGGGCCGTGTAGCGGGCCAATGCCAAGAGAGCATTATTGCTGAAGGACTCCAAGAGCGAGGCATATTCAGAATTTAAGGCATATTCTAAAAAATAAAAGTTGTATTATTTCATTACATTCCCACAACACCCCTCTTTCTTACTTACCCTTGCGACACAGAATAAGCGTCTCAAGAAAATTTAATTCCATTACATCGGCGTTGATTTGCTTCGCTTCGTTGATGATGCGTTGCAAGGCCACATCACCGCAGGCTTCAAATACGGCCGAAATGTCGAGTGTCCAATGCGATGCTCTCAGCACAAAGCATTCGCTCCAAACCAAATGGAGAATGGCATCTTGCTGACAGCGGGACAGTGTGCGGAATTGTTCATTGCTCTTGGCCTGACGCAAACAGGTTACCAGAATTTGAGCTAGCATTTGGAAGTTAAAGGCATTTTCATTGGATTGGGGTGACAAAGTTGAATTTTTCAAACCCCCAGAACATGACGGTGTGAGAGGTGATGACATTGCATAACAATACATAACACTTGAGGAATAGCTTAGACGTTTTGTTGCATGGGCTTTGGCCATTGTTTTAGGGGTTTCCGCGGAACAGTTCAAAGCGCCGGCATTTTGATGTCGAGGACCACGTTCTTCTTGCACAGCCTGGACATTCATGCCCACCTTAAGGCATTGCTGGAAACGACAAAACGGACACCAATTTCTGCGGGCCTTATCTATGATGCAGTTTCCCTTTCCGGCTATACAACTGTAGGCGGTTATGTTACCCTTGCGTACACTACGCTTGAAGAAACACGAACACCCATCACAACATATCACTCCGTAGTGTTTTCCCGAACTTTGATCCCCGCAAACCTGGCACAGTAGCAACTTTTGATGCGCCAAATCTGCCATATCCGCTAAACGATATTCCAATCCAGGAGTTTGTGTTTTATGTGCCATCTTCTCGGCTAGACTGAAATATCCCCCATTCGCTGTTGGAATATTTATAGTCACATTTTGGTGTACTCCATTCGCTGGATGACTGATAAAATATTTGTTTATCACTTGGGTTTTGTTAACCGCCAATACATTGGTCAAATAATTCGATACACGTGACAGGTCATGTCAAAGGACGATGAGTTGGCACAAATGATATGCAAATCAAATCAAATGTTTAGGTGTTACGCCTTTTATTGACCAATTATATGACCACCAAGTCGCAGCACTGTTTGATTTCAATGGTAGACCACTATTAGGGTGGGTAATTTTCTCAGATTGTAGAATAAAATGAAAAAATAAATTAAATGTATTTTTCGAAGGTGCGTGCATATTGCCGTCATTTACCTTTCTTATAATTATTGATGTTGAACATTTTTTGTTTTTATATTTCAAAACAAACAACAAACAAACAGAAAAAAATAATCAATGACTTTCTCAGGAAGAATCTAGTAGTTTTGCAATCCTTACAATCCTTTTTTTTTAAATAGAGTAAAAATCACCCTAGTTCCACCCCAATATTTTTTCACCCTCCCATCCTGTAACTCTTTTGAGGTTAACAATCAAATCGACACCTTAGCGGTTAAATGGTAAACTCATAGTCAAATAAACAACTATTGTTAGCGTTGTGTGCCGAGGGTGTGGAAACTTTAAGGAACAAATCTATTCATTGTTGAGCTCAAGTGAACGTTTGATGACCAGAAACTTGTTAACAAATACTAAACGAATTCCATAATTGATAAATACTTGGTTGGCTTGTTGCAATCGTAATGGGAAGTAAATAAAGAAATTAAAGGGTAAACTAATAAAAAAAGGATACAGTAGGTGGTGTTGGTCGCCAACCTAAACATAATAAAAAAAATATTTAATGCTCTACAAAGTATAAAAGTCCCACAATAATTATTTGAAGGATTCAAATAAGATCTGCTTGACAACAGCAAGAATGTGACCAACATAACCGATTTTCCGTTAGAAAACATTGCGAAACTGGTTGGTTCTTGCAGGTTCTGGTATAGAGCATATATCTCTATAACAGATGAAACATTGGAGGCAGAGTTCCAAGAATCATGATCAATTAACTACAGAGATACCATATCTCAAACAGATTTTTGATAGTCTTCTTGAAATTGGATATTTAACAGGCTCCCATTTATATAAAATTCAAAGAATAACACAAGTCTAAATGAAATCGATTCATATAATATATAAGAGTTTCAATTTGAAACCAAATGTTTACTAAAAATAGCCAGTAAATTGAAATTTTGCTTCAATATTCATAGCAAATACTATTGGTTTTTTTTTAAATAAACAGCAGGTTAATGTAACATCCCTCAATATAAATTGTTGGCAACACTTGCTACAAATCATAATTGGCAACACGACATTATAAAATGGCAATTCACTCCGAAGCTACACAGAGAAAATTTTCGAGTGAGATAAGGTGTTCCACTTTATTAAAAGGGAAGTATATATTATGATGAAAATCAATGATGGTCGGTTCCATGGTACAATAAGGAGGTAGAACAGCTTCGTAAAACTACACAAATACAGCCCTGAGACTTTGCCTGCTTCCTGTTTTCATTCATTTGATATTTTTGTTTATTTTAAAAATGAGTCAAATAGCGCGAACGATGAATGAAATGCCTGGATGTTATCTCAAAAATAAGTGTTCTATCCTTCAATTACGTGGCAAGTCTGGTTAATATCATTAACGCACGCCTCGCAATTTAAGTTTCTTCCAATCATTGATTTTGAAAATATTTGTTATTATTTTTCAAAACAATAAATAGATACACAAATGGTCTGTTCCAGAACCTGCAAGAATCTACTAGTTTTGCAATTTTCTTCGATATCATAAAGGGAAATTTGGTTATCGTAGTAAAAACTTTTAGATTCTTGCAGTTCTGGAACAGGCCAAAAATTGGCAGAAGTCGGGCACACTTAGAAAAAATTGCAATCAGCTGGCAGCTCTACCTTACCTTTTTATTGTACCATGGATTCTTGCAGTTTCTGGAACAAATCTCTATTTATGTGACCAATCTACTAACCGTTGTTGGTAAACCGACTGGAACTGAGGAAAGTTCAGCCATTCGCTCCGATAATATCGATTGAAAAACTATCAACCGATAACACTTTTTACAATAAAGTATCGATGCTGAAATCGATTGCTTGCCACCTCTATGATTCCTTCATTCAGTGAGTTGTTTATAATTTAAATCATTTAATTAATTAATAAAAAAACTAGCCATATTTGTTGATTTTTTCTAATCCTTACTTATAGATCCAAACAATGAGAATCGGGATTGAAAAACAAATGTGTTAGAACCGATTTGCAAGCAAACAATGTACAAAAGTAAACACGTGCGAAAACCATTGTTTTGATTGATTTTGTTTTTCTTTGCTGAACACGTTCCGTCAGCCCACAATATGACCAATTCTACCCAAGTCAACCACAGTTACAAGGATAATGCATGTGAACTGGAACTGCATGTTAGGAAGGCGAAAGGACAAGTGTCCGAAGGTCATACTGGCAGATTTGTGGAGAATATTCGAAATTGTGACATCTTCATAGAGGACTATCACGTACTTATCTATTTAGATGTCCAGCTATATAAGTATGTCCATTGTATACAAAATTTCAGGTCATATAATACTCAAGTCATCTTTGTAGGTTTCGTTCCACTCGTCGTTTTGATTTGAAAGATTTGAAAAATATTTGTTTTGCCTTCAATTCTAAAGACAATGTGCTCCAAGTTTCCCTTCCATGTTTACCACATAACGAGGAGGAACATCCGGAGAAAAACTCCCAAGAAAACAAAACCAAAACTGCGGAGCGTCCCTTAGATTTGTGGAAATTGAAGAGAATCACTGATAATTGCCTGCTTAAAATTGACGATAACGCCGAGCTACTGAGACCTGAAGCTTCTTATGGCTATGGATTTGCGAGTAAATTCCGTGGTAGAATTAAAACTTTTGACGTAAGCTTTGAAAAATATCCAATTATTGTAATTTCAAATGATTCACATTCGTGTTACAGTGTGATTTAGATGCAATTACTCGCATGCCGGAACCGGATAGAATAAGCCCATTGCAACGCCTAATAGATCGAGATATTGACGAAATGAAAAACTTTTGTCGTGATCAGTACAAATTGAATTTTGTGGAGCTACAAGTTCCTGATGGTCTGGACAATCCCATGCATTACACTTATAATTTTAAAGGTATTAATGAATGGAAAACATTTTCGCATATTATACTGCAATTCGGTTATACTATAATCACGAAAAATCACTAAGTTTATTCATAATTAATAATAAGTCCTGATATGTTGTCCGAAAACATTATAATCCATTTTGTATTGGAATGCAATTTAATCCTTCTATCTGTGAAATCAATGAATATGTACAAAATCTTCTGACAGTCCCCTTATTATGTATTGCAGATGCTACGCTCGACCGCGATGAAGAATATTTATTACACAACCTGACGGCTAAGCCAGAACAAATGCAAATGCCAGATCAATATGACCCCATGGAAGTTGATTGTGGTCTCATAAGTATATTGCTGGCCATATGTTATGATGTCAGGTAAGCTTTTGTCGCTTAAAACAAATTTTCGCTTAATATCAATCTAAAATAATTACCTTTCAGATTTACATCAAATGAGCCCAACTGTGAATCCGCCTGGACTCGTAGCATACTATCGGCCACGTTGACATATTTCGAACCCTTCATATCTCTCAAAGATGTTGCTATCAGTTTCATGAGACGTTCCCTAATCTATCCTTTATATCGAAACTACGAACTGAGTAGGCAATGTGTTGAAGATTGCATTGCGGCATTGCAAAATAATTCCCAGTGGATTCTCAAACAACTTCTTATTACGCACGATTGTTTCAGTCTCAATGAACGTGCTGTATTCAATCATTATTACATTGAAGACTACATTCGATATGTTGCAAATCAAAACATTTGCTCAAACTCACATTTACAAATGTTGGCACATAATTTAAAAAATGTTTTATTCGATGTTTTCAAAAAGGATCTGGGCTTGGGACTGCAAGAACTTGAAACGGAACTTTTAAAGGAACTAATAACGGATATTCACATTGCTGCCAGTTCGACAAGTGAGGATGAATCGGTTGAAACTGAAACGGATTCTTCAAGCACATCGTCTGATAGCAGTGACGATAGTGACAGTGATGGTGATAGTGTGATAGAACAGAAAATGGAGAGTTTGAAATTGTAGAATATATCTTAAGTAAGGTGGGTTATCCTTTTCTTTATACAGTTGAAAAATGACGGTGTATATCAATGAATATATAAACAAAAAAATTAAGGCAAAATATTTTTTCTAATAAAAAAGTTACTTGTTTTTAAAAACCAAGTTTGTGATGATCATTGAAATGCACATTTGCTTATTTGATTAGAATTTAGATGACATTTGTAATTTATTTTATTTACTATGCAAATAATTTGTTTCTTGTTACAGTAGCTGTGTAAAGATATAGGATTACTACATTTTTGCAACCCTAATAATAGCTTACTTTAAATACTTATCCATTCCACGTTTTAAATTCTTTAATGTCCAAGGTAAATTTTGTTTTAAAAAAGTTGTCCTGTTTGCCAAAGAAAATTAGAATTCAGTTGGTCCATGCCTTGATTATGTCCCACTTTTTATTTTGTATTGAGATTTTTGAGCGTAGTTGTGGTTTTGTTTTTCGTAAGTTTAAATTATTGTTTTATAGATTTATGTGAAATTTTTTAGTGTTAAATGTCGTGATCATATATTTCCTTCTGTGAAGGAGTTTCTTGGTTGTTCATTTAAGTGTTTTGTGAATTTAAGGTCAATGTTGTTTTTCTTGCAGACACCTTCTTTTCTTTTGGATCTGTTTACATTTTCTAGATCTGTAAGGAACCCACAAATTCTTATACCACGCTTGACTCCTCTGTTGGAAAAATCTTTCTACGTAAGAATTGCTCGTATTTTCAACAATCTGCCGCCCAATCTTAAGATATTCAATTCTTCCCTAAAATGTTATAAGCGTAAATTATATGCTCACTTCAATCAAAATATTGTCTAATAATATTCATGGTTTTCTTGTGTTTGTCTCTTCAGGCCACTTAACCTTTCCTTTCGAAATGTGAGCCTAACATTTTTGTAATATCTGCAGCAACCATCAAAGAAATAGGAACTTACATTTTGGTTATAAATACCTATTTGTTGCTTTACCTCATAGTCAGTCATACTCTCCTCTCTCCTATATCGTTGGCAAATAGAAGCATTAAAAACAGTTTAGTGATTTTTTGGAGTCTTTTATTATTATTATTATTTCGAACTTAGATTTAATTATCTCGTTTTCACGTGTAAAACTAAGCAAAAGTAAAGCTAAAAATTATACAATGCCTTTCATGTGGTTAAAAATAAAATAGAAAAAGTAAGGAAAGTTATACCATGATTGGAATAAATACATGATTTCGTTTTTTGTGGGAAGACAAATAGATTGATAGACATACAAAATAATACAGATTAAATAGTGATTTATATACAACAAATTATAAGAAAAAACAAAGACATGAAACTCTAAATGAACTTTATACTTAAGACTATTAAAAGTTGTTTATGTTTCTTCTTCTCCTTCCTAAATAATGGCTTTAATTTTCGTTTTTTAGGAGAGAAAACATACAGTACACATTGTTCGGCCAATTTAGAATATATTCATATTTCTTTTCAATTTATTATTTAATTACACTCTGGCACTTTACTACAGCTAGTATTCTATTTATTCAGTTATTCGTTCATTGCTCTGATTTGGAAATGGTTTTACCAATTTTTTGTTCTTATTTATTTCGAATTACAAAAAATATTGCTATGTAATTATTATTATATAGTGTATATGTGTGTATATATATTTTGGGAATTCGTTTCTTAGTTTTTCTTTTTTTAAATATTTACATAAAAATTTGTTTTTCAAACCTATTTACTAAGACACAACTAGGATTTCATGTTTTGATTTTTGTTTGAGTAGAAATAAGAAAAAAATACGATGACAAAGGATTTCCAGGAAACCCGTTTAGTTATCGCTTAAAACCGCTACAGATCTACAAAGACAAGAATTTCATTAATAAAATAATTCCTCTTCGTTTTTCTTTGTAAATTTACTCATTGTCTCCTGTTGTATATCAACTTTGTACGAGGGATTATCATAGGCGGCATCACTCTTGCGGGGTGGTGTTATGGAAGCGGTTTGATGGACACGCCTTCTTGTCAGTATCAGCAATAAGACTAATGTCGACATAATAGCTAAGGCTGCAACAACAGAAACAACGACCAATGGTCCATAGTAATCTCCCACGGGCTGATCAACACCAGCGTGCAATAGTTTACCTAATGAGGATAAAAATAGCATTATAATTCCGAATAATAACATATTCTAAAATTTATTTATGTGATCTGACGAATACGGGTTCTAAATATACTATAAGAGGCATTGGATATATTTAAAGCATTTTAGTGAGGGCAAATTGTTTACTTAGGAATTATTTGAGCTTTCCCACAGTATCAGTGGAGTTATCTGTTTATTTCTGACTGAAATTTATAATATAACAAATCATTTTTATTCTCGTTTCAGGCATCTCTTAACTCAAAATTTTATTTTTCATGTAGAATTTTTCGCAAAAGCCAATTTCAGATCAAGTTTATTTCTACTGGTATTTAGATACAAACAAGAAAATAAATTTCACATATGAGTAAATCCCTAAATTGGATATGTGACCTATAGAAAGCTCTTTGGAATTCGAGCACACTTCCTTAAAATGCATTTATATTTTATTCAAATGAACTAAAACATTACCAATATCTCCAAAGAAGGCTTGAATCCTTTGGTATGCAGTTAAAACTTGAGAAACAATTACAACATACATTCAAATTCGTGTTAGTATTTTAAAAATCAAAACTTGCATCCAACTTACCAGTTTTACCCGGAGCAGCATTACCACCAGGCTTGGTGATAAAGTTAACAACGTTACTCTTCTTAATCTTGCCATTGGTCATGTACATCTCCAACCATAGACGATATTTGGTACCGGGTTTCAAGTCCATAATCAATGTACCCGTCGAACTGTCTCTCTTGGCTACCTTGAACACACTGGAATCTTCCTTGCCCGAATCGCTTTGATAGATAGCTCTGTAAATGTTAACATATTTATCTTCGGGATATGGGACACCACTCCAAGTAACTTCAACGCTTTGAGCCTTAATCTTGGTGACATTAACGGTAACATCGAAAGCAAACACATCAACCTTTGGACTAGTACGAACTTTAATCATGTGGCCAGCTCTCATCTCACCACCATGACCAGTCAATGGTATGTAGTAAAGACCAATTTCATAGCCAGTGTCGGGCTGCAAGTTTTCAATGGTGTATGAGGTAAGAGAACGATGTATCAAAGGCGTGGAAGAGTAAATCATGCCAGTCAATTCCTTATATCTCAATTGTATGCCATCAACATAATCCAAGTGGTCATCGGACAATTTCTTCCACGTCAAATGCAACCAAGTCGAGTTGGTTTCGCTGACATTCAATTCTGGATCTTCCACAGTCTTAAAGATGTCTTGGAAGTCGGGACGATAATCGGATGGTGGTGGAGGTGGTGTAATGGTTCGTTCGGCAGGCGTTTTGACAGTGTAAATTGAACTTGTGGGCTGAGAATTCAAATCTCTTAAAATTAAGGTAATTTTGATTTTATACAAAGAGTTTGGTTCCAAGCTGGGCAAGTCGAATTCCATTTGGGAGGTGGCAATTAAATCTTCTGGTGGCGCAAATATTTGCTGATCCCACTTGGAGGTATCGTTGCCAGGTCCATTGGTATAACGCAGTTCCACACGGCCATGTAAATTAACATAGACTTGGGGAACGGTGAAGACAATGCGCACCGTGCGGGCATCAATGGCTTCCAACGTGTGCACTTCAATGTCGGGTTGTAAATTGTTGAAACCTAGGCGATGGAAATTGATAGGAATTAATATTATCTACAGCTTAAACCAATAACAGAGTATCACTTGTGGGGTTTGGACTCCAAACTAAAAGCTTTTCTACAGGCAAATATAGGGGGGGGGGGGGTAAATGGGAGAGGCTAACCACTCCCACCGTGTAGTCTCAGTTGTGTATTTACAAGTTGTTAATGTGTGTGTGTGCGTGTTGTTTGATGTAGAGTTGTGTTCGTGCAAAGAATGGAAATGTGATCGAGGGATAACCGTAACTTATTTTTGATGTAAGTAGAGCTTGAACTAGAGTTTTGTTTGGTTGGCGGGATTAGTAACATATATTCAATGGGGAATGCAATGGGCACTTGGATATTAATGCGAAATATGGATGCAGACAAAGATAAAGACAGAGACAAAAAGAAAATTAGGGTTTCAAAATCAACCTGTTTTTTGGGTCTTCGTTACAGCACCGTGTTCCGACGATTGTGTCTGCAGACCGTTGGCAGTTGTGGTGGATGCATGACCGGCATTATGACCGAGATGAGTGGGTACAGGTCCCACACCAGGTATAACGGGATAACCTCCGTATGAAACGGGCTGGCCATCTACAATGGCAATGCCATGACCTGGTGGTGGAGGTGGCAGGCCACTATGAACTATGGGTACATATTGGGGTGCTTGTCCTCCCGCACCGCTGGTGTTGACATGCACAAAGGGTCCTTGGGGTGCAGCTCCATTTTGTACAGCTGGGTTAACATTTTGCTGCAGATGTTGCAGTATGTGTTCGATCCTAACATGGGGTGGTAAATTCGATTGACCCAACTTGCCACCGCCTGGCACTCCTGCTCCTATGATATTAAACAGGTCCGATTGACTTGTGGGTGCTGGAGGTTTGCCCTGGGGTATACCGTTGGGATTCAAATCGTACTGTTCATAGGGATTGAAGGCTTCATTGTGATAGAAAGGTCCATAGGGTCCCTGTGGTCCTGGATGTTGTGGTGCCAGATTTTGATTATAATTAACACTGTCATAAGGCGAAATGGCCACACCACCATGTGTCAGATGGACGGGAACATAACCTGGTCCCAGACCGGGGTGTTGATGCACAGGAATATCATCTTCTTGTGGCTCATGGACATCGTATTTGACATCATTTTGTTGAGGTTTAACTGGAACTGGCGGCTTCTTGGCATGTTTGTCATGCTTATCATGTTTCTCATGCTTTTCCGTCTTATAATCGAAACCGAATGGTGGTGATGGTGCACCGCTCTTGGGTGGTTTACCATCCAATGTGGGATAGAAGGCATTTGCTGTTGGTTTCTTTTCTGCCTCGGCTTTGCCAACACCACCAGTGGCCGACTCATGCTTTTTGGTGGCATTTTCCATTTTTGGTGGGTGTTCTGGAGGTGTGGCGGTGAAGATTTGTTTGTTTTATTTTTATGTACAAATGCAAATTATTTAAATGAAGCGCATTTTTATAAATAAATTAATATGTGAGTGCAGACAAAATATGAATTGGATAATTTCAAGGGAAGCCATAACTACATTTCAGATTGAATTATACCTCTGTTAACAATGGAACTGAAAAATTCCCTCTTTGTTGAAGGATTTAAAAAATTAAAACTGTTATCGGAATATCCTTGAAGATAATCATTCTTTCCGCAATGTTTTATAACTTCACTTAAAATTATCCAATAATAAAAAAAAAATATAAAATTAATAAAAATAAGAAGGCAGGAAAATGTAGGAGAGAGGTTTTATAATTCAATTAGTTTTTTTTTAAAGAGTTTTGAAGCCTGTTAATGAAGTTTGGTTTAAAGGAAAGGAAGATAGAAAGTAATAGAGCGAGCGAGAGAGAGAGAGAGAGCATGATTAACGTATGAATATGACCTGATGGATGCTTGACATTTAATGGAACTACAATAGAAATTATGATATGGCGTAATCATGCTTCATCCGACTTTGTGTTTAGACAGTTTTTCTGATGATAAGAATTCTTGTTTGGCATTTGGTTCCTGATTTTTTCTTACACGTCGACACACTTAAATTTGTACCCACAACAACAACAACAACAAATAATATCATTGCTCTACTCAAAAACAAAGCATATCCAATACTGAGGTCCTTTTGGAACCTTTCGACAATTAGTGAAAACAAAATAGGAAAACAAACACATTCAATGTAAAAAGCATCACTTATTTCATGCACCCCTTTAGAGAAAAGCTTTTGAAAATTATTTTCGTAACGGTCATATTTACCATTGTGTCCCAAATGTTCTTGCGAGGCTTCCTCCTCTTCCTCATCCACTTCGTGTTGTTGGCCACCATTATAGGGTCTCTCGGATGCATTTGGTATGGGGGCACAAGCCCAATGTTTGCAACATTCATCATCGGGTATGGGCAATAAACGGGCCTGAGCAGGATGACAAGGCAAGTCGGCTGGCGGCAACGCCAAAACGGGGGGACAAGCTGGACGGCATTCTACCTTACCATTTTCACAATAACAATGTTGGTCACAACCTATGGCAATGTTATGTTGGGGAGGAGCAATTGCATATGAAAGTCAAGGGTTAGTAATTTTGCTCACAAATACAATATGAACGGTAAGCTTAAGCCAGCCAATGAAAGCTTGGTGTATTACTTACCAGTTAGATTGGTGGGTATTTGAGACCAATTTTCAAATTCTTCGCCGCGATACTCGCAGGTGCCATTGTCCACACAACGCATGCTGTCGGGACAACAGTTAGGTGCAATGGGTTGGAAGTTGGCCGGTTCCGGTTCCCAGCGTAAACAATGGGGATTTAGTACGTCCAAACCAAACGAGGTGGGGCACTGCAATTTGGCACAATGCACCCCCTGGGCAGTACACAGACACAATTGTTCACAACCATCATGGAATTGTTTACCCTCGGCATAGACCTGATTCTTATATTCACAAGATCCTTGACCAGCAGCACCGTTGATGTCGCGTCCCTCTTGGAAGCCATAACTATCATCGCCTATTGAATTGTGGGTAGCCGGTGGTGATGGCCTTTGTTCATGATCATCGAGTGTCACATCGCAGAACTCCAACTGGCAGCACACGTCTTTGGGATCTTTAACGAAGACACACTTGTCGGGACGGGTGTGATTGCGTTCCGGACAGCGGGGCTTGCAATTCATAATGCCTCCCTCGTCGCAGTGGCAAATTTGTTCACAGCCAATTTCCAGACGTTCACGGAATTTGTAAATACCACCATTGAAATAGCAGTCGGGACGTGTTTTATGTATGGATGCTGCGCATTTGTGTATGTGTTGTGGTAATGGTTGTTGTTGTTGTTGTAGTTGTTGTCATTTAGAAGCAATGCAAATGATGACATGAAATGAACACACATACAAACAATATAAATGAATGGAACTAAACTAAACTGAACTGTTAAAGAGCAGCTTCAAACTACACACATACATGAACTGTAGAAGATGATAAAGGCGTCTAAGGTAAAAAACCCCTCTCTTCTAAGTTTACTCTCTATTGTTGTTAACATTTGTTTATTGTACCTACCATTCATAGCCTCGTCATCATCATCATCATCCGTATGCATTGTGGACGATTGTGTGGGCAGGAAGGCATCTTCATTTGTCGAACATTCCATTCGGCTGCAACATTCATCATCTTCGACAGCAATTTCACGGCATTTTGATTGTTCTTCGTCAGACATCATCGTTGCCATCGCCGCTGCCATTGTGCCACGTTTAAAGGTTTTGCCCTGGCAGCGAGGTGAACAAATCCATTCACCACGATTACAAGTACAACGTTCATCACAGCCACGTTCCATATTTTCGCCATTCTAAATTGAGCAGAAACAGACAACGAAAGAATGAAGGAAAGAAGCAGATGAAAAGACATACGAAAAAAACAATCAGTACATATTTTTTTGAAAAATTGAACTCGTTACAGTTGTTTGACTTTCTAAAGAATTGCATTAAGTGTTGGTGGTTTTCTTCTACATAGGTGTATATACCTGTGTGTGTGTGTGTGTCTGCAAATAGCCATAGATAAATGTTCTCTTATGGCAAAAAGTAGAAATTAGAAAGAAAATTTCCAGAGCATGGAGTTTTGTAGCCCAACATGAGGGTTTCTTGTCTCAATTTCACTTGCCAAGACCTGGTAAAAAATCCGACAAAATGGCAATCCATCAACTATCCATTAAATTATGAAATTTTTTCACTTGAAATTTTTTCATTCCAGATCTATGTTTGAATGTTTTTCTGTGCGACAATTTACTGCTAATGAGAGAAGTTATAATGCTACAAATTTGAGGAAAAAGAAAATAAAAAGAGGTAAGGGCCAAGAAGTAATGAGAGATAGCAATAATTTTTCTTGTCACTTTCAGTGCTGCAATAATTTAACTCGAGCGTTAAGTCACCATTAGATCCCGGTAAAGAGAATGACCACGTTTAACGGCGATATATAATCTCTTTTCGTCGAGGAAAATTTATGATCGGTGATGTCATTAGACGAAATCTTGGAATTAGACGAAATCTCCGTAGTTATGTTACGTACAAGTACGACAAATTTCTGAATAATAAGTTCAAGACCTGTGGAGAGAAACATGGAGTTTTTAAAGAAGGGGATATCTCCGAAAGTGTTAACCCCATAGCTTTCTGTAATTCCGCCGTCTCTATTCTCCCACTATTGAAGACATATGTATAAATTTGAACTCATATCTCAACAAATTTGCGGCGTTCTTCGATACGATGATTATGCCACGAAATCAAAGGACACACTGTTGATAACAAGGACTTTTGAGATGAAAAATCAACTGAACGTTTATTTAGACAAATTTTCGATGGAGGAATTCCTTGAATTCGTGAGAACCATCTGCGACAAAAATGGTAGGAACAATGCCTACGAGTGGCTAGGCGGTAACTCTTGAGGTAATAACATCGACTTAGGTCGGATATTCGGTGTCAGTATGGTGCGCAAACACTAGTGTTTATGCAATGGAGGAGTTTAAAAACTTGTCAACATCCGATTTTAAAACTGCAACAAATTGTCAACTCCAGACACCAGCAAAATATTTATATGAAGAGAAGAAAATTCATCCCATATGCCACTACCCAGCGCAAAGCAATTAAAACCTTAACATAGTGGATTTAATAATCCCCAATATATAAGAGATAGCCCTCAGATTAACAACCCTATCAGGTAAATATAGGTAATCTGAATTTACACGAGATGCAATCACCGAAACCATTAAAGATGATGTTCTTGGAGCCCCCTTCCCATCTGTTGCACCTAAATAACATTGACTACCTAAAACAAACGAGGGCTGTTTACCCCAACTTTATGGCATTTAACATTTGATTCCAAGTAGCTTTAGAAACGCCAGATTTTTTGGTGGTGGAGGGGAATCAAGCATTACCATGTATTCTTTAAAGTTTCTTAGCGCATATAATTCTCAGTAGTTGCTTTTTCCATTTTTGTTTTAAATTTCCGAAATTTTCCATTATTTTCTGCCACTGAAAATATTTTTGGTATTTCGTTTAAACAAGCAAGTTAAGTCAACATATTACCCTATTTGGTTATTGCGAATACCATTCTCGTCATGATCTGTGGTTGGCAAATAAGAAAAAAACAAGAACCATTTTGAGTATTACTTATTATGAACAATTAATGAAACGAAGCCCAATTGCGTTCCACAATTAGATGACAAAACATTAAATTAAAAACAAATCTTTAATTGCCGTGACTAACTAATGTTTTGTACCAAGTAGGTGTTTTTGTATTTAGATTACAATTTCGCATTTGACTTTTTGAAAAACCTATAACCCAGTGAACCTCTTTTTTTTTGTTGTTGTGAGCATGGTGTCGAAAGATAACAACTTAAGGTCATCTACATCAGCGCCAACACCAGCAAGACATGCAACACTTTTCAGGCCATCTTTCATTAGCTGTTGTAATTGTTGTTACACATTCGGTGGGGTATCAGTCAGTGTGTGTATGTCGTCTCTAATTAGCTCTCGGCTTAATGATAATATTAACTTTTGAAAATTTGAGCATGCAATGGTGTAATTAAGTTGAACACAGATACTATTACAAAAAAGCAAAAGTAACCGCTACAAGCCAATAGATAGATACGTAAATGGTCAATGGTTGTTTTTAGCTTTTTTAGGATTTTGTTGCTTTTTTGTTGTTGTCTAATCTAAAAAAAGGCCGGTTAATGTATTGTACGAACGTCTGAGATTGCACGTGTGGCATGCCATAACACCAGCCACATTTATCGATTGTGTTGGCTCACTCACATGACGACAATTCGTGTGCAATGTGTGGGATAGTGTTCGTGTGTGTGTTTGTTGTGTATTGACCAATTTTCCAAAGAAAATTACAACGTCTCCCAGTGCAAAAGTGAAAGTAATTTTGTATTGCAAAAAAGCCAAAAAATAAGAAAACGCTTAGTAATATCACATCAATGCAAATATGCATGCACTGACTGCTTGGAATTTTTGCTGTTGTTGTTTTTATTTGGTCAGTGGTAATATTTGTGTTGTTTGTGCAAGGTGCATATTTTTTTTTTTTTTTTTTTTTTTGGTTTGGCATTCCACGAACAAAATCCACGTACATATATTAATATTTAAGTTCCAGATATTTAATATTTAAGTTTCAGTCATGCGGTTTGCAGGCAAATATTTTCTACTTCAGATCAATTTGTCTGAGATGTTGAAGAGCAATCAGGGTAATTAACCTAAATGTAAGGCTAATAAATAAAAAAATATGCCAAAGAGTGGAAAATGTTGGCAAAGATATGATTGACTGAAAGTAAACGCAGTACACCCGAACTTGGTCAGGGGAATTGTAAATAAAATTGTTCCACTGCAAATATATAGAGAGTTGTGCCTTTACAGAATTTCTGAACAAATATTAACATTATAATGATATCCCCATATTTCGGGTCTTTTTAGGCTGGAGAGGGTATATATCATTCGACACGGCCAAAAGTGCCTCATCGAAAAGACCAAAACCTTTTCAGAACATTTGGAGTCGATCTTACGATATCCCTCCGTCCGTCTGTCTGGCTGACTGGTGCACATCCTATTTGGCCCAAACTTGGTACATTGTAATATTATTATAAAAATTAGATCGAGATGGACAATATCGGTCCACTCCTTCAGGTACCTTCCCCACAAAGGATCAACATTTTTAATATCCATGAAACTGAGTAAACATTTGGATTTGGAAAATCTCAACATTGCTATCAATACAAGATTTGGTTTTAAAATGGTAAAACAAAGTGTCATAGTTTTGAATAACCAAAAACGATTATAAAATCTGAAATAAGCATGCAATTGTTTTCATATTTCACATATCCCATTATTTCTATTAACACAACATCTGCTATGAAGAAGGGATATATCGGTCCACTCATTCTGGTACCTCTACCACAAAGGGTCAACATTTTGAATATCAATGAACATTTTTTTCTGGAACATCCTCCAAATAGGGGTCAAGATTTTGAAAAAAAGTTAAATGACAGCAAAATAAGCATCCTCCCTCTCTCTCTCTTCAAATTTCAGACATGCAAACGTTTTTTGTAACACAAGATCTGTTGTGAAGATTACGTCACAACATTGCTATTATAATTATTTATTTCCGGAAAGATATAAAGAATATTTGCCAAGTTCCTAGCGAAAACCCCTCCCTATAGAAAATGTTTAATACATAGGAATAGGCTATGAATTTTGAAGGTTTAAATTATGAAAATGTTTATCCATGCAAGTTTTACTTTTATAATTCGCTTGTCAATTGATTCACTTTGGTTTAGACCCAAAGTACCTCCCTAAACGGCATTCCTAAACTAGGCCCATTATTTTGAATATCTCTCAGATATCTTGTGGATCGGCATTTCGAAGGTTTTTTTCTTTCTGGTCGATAATGTTGTCACATTGGTTGAAAATTTGTCCTACGAAGCATTTATGTACAGGTTCGGACATATGCCGTTTAGGGTGTAATTAGAAAGTTTTAAACCTTTAAATTCAAAAAATATCAAGTTCTTGAAGTACTCAACATATAACTCTATACACACTATAATTTTGAGTATATAAAATTAAGCACAGCAAAGAAATGCAGTATTTTTTAAAGATTCTGGAATACCTCGTATTTGACGACAATACCAAAATTTTGAAGCCAACAGATTTGGCTATAATTTATGATTTCTCATGAGAGAGGAGAGAAAAAAATCAACTGAAATTTACTTGTAATATCTATGGCTCTAAATATTAATTTCTCGTACATTTACAGTACCAACTATATAAACCATTTATAACGTAACGTCCTTGCCCAAAATATATTCAAATTATAGAAAAGCGTTGAGTATTTCGGCGAGGAGCCAGACAGTCAAAGTCTAGCAAAAGCGAACAATACAACAACGCCTACCCACTTCCCAAACCAAATTAAAAACCTGCTGAAATATTGGCACCCTACATAGACGACCGGTTTTGAGATCAGACAGAGAATTAGTTGGATTGTTCGACTTCATATTTGGTTGTTACGGTTTTCATTGTTGTTTGTTTTGGGATTTGTTTCTTTTATTTTGTGAAAAAAAAAAAACAAAAAAAAAAAATCGGCGATTGTTGCATTAGAGCCGATGTAACCTAAGCAAATGCCTACATTACAATTTGAAATAAAGCCGAATTAGGAAAGCAAAAATAAAAACAAAGACAAAAACAACACAATAACACAAAAAACAAGTGGAACAAAAAATCAGCTCTCAATTTTTTTTCTTACAGTCAGGCAGACTGAATGTTACTGAATTGTTGTTTTTGTGACTGTGGAAGACCAAAACCGAGAAGAAAAAAATCAACAACCAACACCACTTCCATTATGGACTGTTACCATCTCAGAGTGTATTTGTTTCTCAAAAAAAAAAAATAAATAAATAAATAAATAAAAAATTAGTTTAAATTAAAAAAAGTGCAACCAATTCAGTTCAGTTCCAAACTAAAGTTATGCCATTCACAAATCAAAAGCGAATGCATTCACTTTTTTTCGATTTTTTTTTTTTTTTTTTTTTTTTTTTTTTGTGGTGTAGTCTATCGACACCAGTTTTGGGCTATTATGGCTAAATGTTGTCAACTTAAGTCCAACTTTAAATATTGGAATACATTTTTCTTGGTCCAATAGAAAGTTTAATCGATGCTTATTATGTTTTGATAATCAAAAGACTTAAGACACATACTTTGACATGGACACACCCAATTTTTGAAACTTGGAATAGAAAGATAATTTCAACACTGCTACTTGAGGAGAGTAAAATAGGTTAGTTTCGATCAAAAAGTGTTCAAAATATGCAAAAAAAAAAAAAAAAATATATATATATATATATGAATCTACCCATTACGAAATTTTGATCATTAAAAAACGATTTTCAGTCGCGGACACCCTTTCCGAGAAGTACATCAAGTTGCCTTCTTATGATAGTAGTGGAACATCTACATAATTTGATGAAGTCTCATGCCTTAGGGTGTTTCTGAAGGATTCATAAAAAAATATGACATAGTGTATAGAACTTCCCTGCTAAGGCGGGTTAGTAAGATTTTTATAATTTTCGTCGGAAATCAAAGGATAAATGAGAACCCCTTACTGTTAACAATCCTATCAGACAAGTCTTTGTTATGTTCTCACTGTCCTTAGTACCCCCCCCCCCCCCCCCAACACATTGCAGAGGATGTTGGATGCTACAGAATTTAGAGTAGTTATGTGTCAAGTACTTTAGGATGGCGTTCCTAGATCTACCACCCAAATCACTGCAGAAGATCTCAGGAGGTAGCCGCTTTTTTTTCGAATTTAGAGTTAAAACCAGAACCAGATTAACAAGGCAAACATATAAATATAAACTGAAATAACAACAATTTTGATCTCAATTGTCCAAAACCAACAGACACACCTCAATACGGAAACAAAAAACTTGCTTTGATTCAAAAAACCTGTTACCTCTTAGCCAAAAAAATAAAAGTGTTAAATTTGGCTAATAATATCGTGTCATTATACAAATAGGATATTTTCAACATGAAATCAACAAAAATTTAATTCCTGTTGCAATTCAACAGGGAAATGTGTTGAACATTAAACAACTCAAAATGTTGTGCTTCTTTTTGGGGTTTTCTCTTCCTCCTCCCCTTTGCGGCATGTACATGGTCTATTTCCATTTTCATTTTATCCATAATTCATAACATCAACACGTTTTACAACCCCGGCATATAAACAAGATCACATAAATCAACTGGTGGTGTCTGGTCTCTCCAGCAATAATAACAACAACAGAAGAAGAAAACTAGCTCAACAAGGAAACACTTTTTGAGATGGAGTGCGAATGAAAACCACAGCCATCAGAGACATACATATATTACAAAAAAAAAAAAAAAAAAAAACTATCGAATGAAATAAACACATATAAATATTTGATATTTGTATGCAAACACAAAATTCAAATACTTGCAGAAGTTGTTGTAAACAGGAAAATGTAAAGGAAGTTAAACACAAATAGACATTGAGGATATTCAACATTCAGCCAATCGTATTGTAAAAATGCATGTGTATGTGTCTTAAGTCTTTTGTGTGCATTGGCAAAAATGATGATTGATTATCTACTCTCTGAGATTACGTGATGTTGTCATTTTTGTTGACAGCCTCTTGAGTAATCGAGGATTTTCCAAAGTCTGACTTGTCTGTAATGACATAGAAAAATCTATTGATTTGAAGTTATATATCTCGAATAGCTCATTTCTTATTATTAACAAAAGTTATATTAAAAATTAGTAAGGAATGAGGTACTATAGTAGTACGGGGCTGACCATGTGATACCCTACAACACTACAATGTGTTGGAAGCCTCCTTATGTCTAAATCCATTTTGGAAGATTTCGTTTTTGAAACGATGTCATAGAGCCTTTTGACCGAGGATATTTGCCCCATATTTACACACTCCGTCGTGTTGTTAGGTATTCAAAACAATTTCACATTTTACAGCTAAATATAATCCAATGGCCATCCAAAATACTATACTTCTTCCCTGTCCGAAACTCTCTTCATATGCAAAATTCCGTATCGATGGGTTTTCTATTGTGAGCTGTAGAGCGACTGCAAAAATATTTAAATTTTAATAGTTTTGGTCCATTTGAGTCCCTAAATGAACATCTAAAAAAACAATAGGCTTTAATTCTGCAAAAAAACTAAACATGCAAAATTTCATGAAGATGATACGGTAATTGCGACCTGTATATAATACCATCAACACACAGTGTTCTGGGGTGTAGAAAAACTTTAGAAAATATACAATTCAAAATTGTCAGTCAAATTGAAAAAAAAAAAACTGAATTGGCAAAAATTGGGAAAAATGTATCAAAAATAATTCACTTTTTTATTGTCTTATTTTTACGTGATTTTCTTAAATTTTATCCTTTTCTGACAAGAGGCCATTCCGAACTGTGACCTGAAGAGCAACTGCAAAATCAGGAAAATTTTCTGTTTTTTGGTTCATTTCAACTCCTAAATATTTTACGATTATCCCAAAAAAAAAATAGGCTTCTATTCTGACCCTAACCAAACCTCCATTTAAAATTTCGTGAGGATTGGTCCATAATTGCGACCTGTAGCGTGATTACAAATTAACATGGAAAGACGGACATACATAGCTAGATCGACTCAGCTCGGCGAGATAGGAAGACCAATATTTATGTCGGGGACCAATATTTCGAGTTGTTACATAATTTCTGGCCCAGTCAACGGGCTTATGCCTTAAGGTGAGAATACGTAGAACGCCCTTTTGACTTGCTTAAGTCATCGTAACAAAGGAGTTTAAGTTGATTTAGTTCGATTTTGGTCCTACGCTCCTTTGTTATTTTCCGATTAAGCTAGCCTTGAACTTTTGTTGGTAGATACAAGATAAAAAGGACAATTTTTGCCGTATAAAAAGTTTATATCCCTTTGTAGCCATAACGTCGTGGTGATGCATAAGTATTCGTCTGCTGCTCCTTCAAAAAAAAACATATCAACGTTTTGCTTAGTCCTGAATGGAAATGATGTTTACATGATAGACTAGAATTGTTTATATACATCTCCAAATCAAAAAAAAAAAAAAATCTGATATTTAATTTTCAACCCGGAAAAACTGGACTTTATGCTACTTAATCATTCGATGTATTAGATAAATTAGCTAGAATCCTAACGATCAGAAAAAAGTCATAACTAACAAATAAAATGTAAAGTTACAACCCATACTCTGACGTGTCATCTTGGCAATCACCATAGCATTGCACATTGCGGAAAGGGTCGTCAATACGAGTAAAAAATAACTATCAATTCATATATTACAATGACGTCTGTGTGCTTGTGTCTTAAGTCTTTTGTTATCACTTGAGCTAAACTCAATAAAAAAAACTAAGGTTCAAACGTACGTCCGTCCATCCATCCATCCCATCTCATCGTTTATCGATGCATAATTAATTTTCTTTTTATCATTGAAAAAATTTCATACAAAATACACCAGGGTCACCAACGACGGCGTCATTGAGTGATGCGCATTTTGCAAACGAATAAGGAAAACCTACACTCACACCAACACACATCGAATTTAAAATATGTATGTGTGTGTTTTTGATATTTTCCATTTGTATTTAACGTCACTTACCTTATAACTTTGACCATCTGCCAGACATTCACGATGCATTACATCGCCGGCTGCAGTTATTTCTGTTATTTTCATATGCGACTCCGATGTAGAATCGAGTAAGGGAGTTGCAGTGGTGGTGGTGTCGGGGGCAGCAGTTGTTGTTGTAGTACTGGCCATGGAATCCAATGTACTGGCTGGTGTTGGTGTGGTGGTGATCATCATGTGATCTTCCTGGCGATTTTCAGAGACGCCAAAGACATTATGTTGGTGCTGGTGTTGTTGGTATTCCTGGCTTTTGTCGTCGTCCTCCATGCTAACATTGCTCAAGTCATTGATGGCGGCATTTTTCTGCTCACTTTGCGGGTCGTGTACCCTTTCGGTGGTGACAAAGTTGTAATGATAATTCAGATGCGACAAATCATCTTCGGCCGATATGGAGGAGTCGACGGAACGACCCTCGCCATTGAAGACATAATGGACAGATGGCATTTCATGGTTTCTTTCGGCACTGTCGCCGCTGCTGCTGGTGGCGGTGGTGGTAGAGGTCAAATTGTCGCCACTGCCATCGCCATGGTGTATATGATGACTGTGATCATGGGCAGCGTGATCATGGCTATGTTCAGGTTGATGATCATGCATGTGATGCTGCAATCCTTCGACTATGCTAATAATTGGTCCCGCAGGTGTGGTACTGGTCGTGGAATCCATGCTTGTGGGTGCCATACCATCTTCAGAGCTTAAGTTTATGGCTCTGGCCCTGCCTTCGTTTGTTTCGTTGTGTTCCGCCACAGGTTTGGCTGTGGCTTCATTCTCATGACTAACAACAATTCCGTCGGTGTGGATGTCTGCAAATGCATTGGTTTTGTCAGCCGATTGAGTGGTTGCCGTTGAGGCTGTGGCCACCGATGACACATCCATGGCATCTTCAGTGCTGGAAATCATTTGATAATCTTCGTGTTCGGCCAAACGATCATGACTCTCGGAGAGAATGTGGGCATGGTAGGGATCTTCAGTGTCTTCCAAGGATTTCATGGAACTGTCGTTGTCTTTGTCCGTTGTCTCCTCACTCTGGCTGGCAGTGATCAATGTAACGGGATGTCGTATATTATTCAAATCTTTGGCATCGGCATCGTCGGGTTCCTGGGAGATTTGATTGAAATGTTCCTGGCTGTGGGGCGTTGTGATCATGGGCACATCGGTGGCAGTGACCACATCCATCATTTGTTCAGTCTTGTGATCTACGGCAATGTGTTGTATGTGATCCACTCCAGTCTCGAGGTGGTGGTGATGGTGTTGATGATCATGGCCATGATGCTGTTCCTCTTCCATCTGGTTGGAGTCGCTGACTTCTGGCAATGGCATCTTCTTCTCCTCTGTTGCCATTTCAACCTTGCTTTCGATTTCATTAAAGCCATTGTGCGCTGCTGCGATTGTGGGCGTTGTGGTGGGTTCCGTCGTTGTAATCGGTTCAATGGTTGTCATTGGCAATGAAGTTTCTCCTTCATTAGTGGTCTCAATTGGATGATTTGTTTCCGTTGTGGTTGTCGAAGCAGAAGAAGAAGCGGAGGTGGTCGATGTTTGATCTACGACTTGTGCAGATGATGAGTCTTCGTGCTGTGGCATTGTCATTGTGGTTTCCATTGCCATATGTGGTGGCATTGTTGTTTCAAATGATTTCGGTGATGAATCTGCAAATGGAGAAGAAAAATAGGTTTTTATGAATTTTTTGGAAGGAGAAAATCTGTATATTCAGTATTTATATTTATTTTTGGAAAAAAAGTTTGGGGCTTTAAAATATTTAAGAAACAATTTAGAGAAATTTTTAGTTGGGTTTGCTAATAGATAAAGTATCTCAGTAGATGTTTAGACTCGAAGTTTTCACTAAATCGAGGACTCTACTCAATTTATATATTTTTATAAATTTTGAAAATTTAGATTACTTTTTGGTGAGGTATTATTAACGTACGACCTTATCTGGGAAGGTAAAAGAGAATCGGAGGATAATTTCATATTTTGTAAGAGTTAATATTATTCAAAATTCCACACCTGAATTAAGCTTTCAAAAAAAAAAAAAAAAAAAAAACGATATTATGGTACTACATTGTGGGGGCTAGATTGACCCCATTTCCAGTATTGCCATATCCAAAAAGATCATGGAACCCATGCTGTGAACACTACAGCGGCCAACACGCTGAAAAGTATCTTTCGAGTACGTGTCTTAAGTCTTTCGTTTAATCAATTTTTTTGGCAATATTTTCAATTCAATTTACCAACCATTGAAGCGTTAATACTTTTTTGTTTATTTTCAAACAACGAGTCAATAACCTTTTTGGCGTTGTTTATTACACGCAGACACACACACGCATGTGTGTGCGTGTGCGGGTAATGTGTGAAGTAATACCGCATAACTGCCATAATAATAATAAATAGCCCACGTACAGTTATTATTCGATATGTCGATGCCTGGTCTATTCCCCTATCAGCCACCAAAAAAGGCTTTCGACCTATAATCTGCGACATCATTTCACACAAAAAAAATTAAAAACATTATTTTATTGTCCATTTCTTTGGGTGTTGGGCGATTCTTAACAGCAGAAAAAAATTATAAACAAAAGAAACTACAGTTAATTTCTTTTAATTGTGCAAATTTAAAATTGCCGGCCGAAGAGGGGAAGTGGGGCGATTTGCCATTTGTGTCATATCTTTGAATGAAATCATTGATTATAATTTGCGCCAAGCAAAGAATGTGACTAAGTCGCACCATCAACAGTTATTTGTGTTATTTTACCAACCCCATAAAATAATTGCCATATCGGATTGTAATGAGAATACCAGGCAATGGGTAATGCAAGAGAATGAAAGACAACTTAAACATTACACAATACCACAGGAATGTGAAAAGTGTTGTTTTTTGTATTGTGAAACGTTATAATTTTTATGGTGATAGGATTAACCTAAAATTCCAGGGATATATTTTCCCCATGATTGATAACATCCTTGGAATGAAAAAAAATAACTGGGTTTTTCTGTTTTCCATTGAGTCGGGATTCCAGATTTAAAAAATTTTATAGATCTAGGCCAGCAGAAAAACTGGCACATAATTGCGTGGCTTTTAATTGTAATTTTAATAATTAATTAATTATGCTGTTGCCGTGTGTGAATGCCATGTTTTTCACTCACATCAATGCTACGATTGAGGAGAAAAGTCATTATGTCATTATGACTCTCAGTCATGTTCATATGTTATTTTCTGTTGCTGTTTTTTTTTATTTTGTTTTGATATCCCCACACACACAGGCAAACAACAAATGTGTAATCATGATTAGAGCTAGTGATGCTGGCTCCACTGCCTGGCTGACTGTCTGGTTTTCTGTTCTGTGTTATTGTGGCCCCTTAAGCTTATTACTTTTGAAGCGAACAAAAAAAAAAAACACTGAAAATCTCCAAAGAATTCTTAAGAAACACCCAATGAAAACAAGTCTGCCGCGAGGAGTGTAGATCACAAGGAGAGGAAGAAGAACAAGCAGATATCTTGCTCTTGGCCATTCATCCGCCAAATTGTTTGGAAATATTCCCAGGCTGTTTTTGTTTTTTGGTTCTTCTGTGCCATAACAAACATACCACACTGAATCATATGAAATTCTTGGAACTTAGGCAGGGGCATTTTATTTTGTCTTTCTTTTTTGTTTTTGCTGTTCCTTTCAAAATCAAAACAACACCAGAAGATGAAGAAGAAGCAGCAACAGAGACTGAAAACAACGACAATTCAGCAAAAATACATTGTAGTCTCGGAAAGAATGGATAATGGCCTTAGGTTTCTTTTGCTGTTGGAAACAAAATTATGCCGAAAAAATTAGAGGGTAATCAATTTGGAGATGCTGTTATTAAATGTTGGCGGTTATTTTGTAATATTAATGGGAGAGTTACAGTTCCTAAGTCAGGTATTGATATTAATTTTTTTCCTGTTAAGATTGCCATCAATGGTTTTTTTTCTAATTAAAGACAATTTTGGAAAAATTTGAGCGTTAAATTATATTTGGGTATACAGTGCCTTCAGGCAATACAGATTACAACTTAACAATTTGTACCGAATTATTGGGTTTTTCAAATTGCATTGTAACAGGTCAAAATATTCCACAGCAATGTTGCTCATAATATACTAAATTCCAGTCTGATAACCCATGATTGTTTACAAAAATTATTTTTGTAATTTTTCATAAAATATGTAAATATGACCTGAGCCACGGAAGAGAAAAACTCCGTTTCCATGATTTGGATGAAAAATGCGGATTAAAATGGCATTCTCTTTGTGTAACGTTTTGAAAAATTTATAGTATTTTTTTGCGTCATCCGGACGTTCTCTGGCTGATACGAGTTATAGATCTGGAAGTATCCAAATTGGTGCACCGTGACGTTTATGCCAAACTTAGATCGAGGTCCAATAGTCATAGAAGGAATAAATAAGCCCAATTCTTTTGATATCTCACTCAAAAACGTTTAAATCAGCCAATATTTTACATACCGTCATATTTATTTTAAACCTAGGTTAGATGCAAAAATGGAAACATTGGTCTACTTCTTCTGGTGCCTCAAACCTTAAATTTTTATGCCCTCAGCCATATGGCTGGAGAAGGTATATATCATTTGATACGGCCAAAACGTGCCTCTTCGAAATAACAGTTTTAGACCCAAGGTATCTTAATACCAAATTCTTTTCAATACATTTAGAGTCGATCTAGCGATATCCGTCCGTCTGTCTGTCGGTCTGGCTGCTGAGCACTATAACTCTCGAAGCGAGTATCCGATTTGGTTCAAACTTGGTACATCGTAATATTTTTGTCAAACTTAGGTCGAGTTCGGAGATGGGCAATATCGGTCCACTCCTCTTGGTACCTCCTCCACAAAAGTTCGAAACATTAAAAAAAATGTTTTACTGCACAGAAAGGAAAAGGGTCATTCGATTTTGCTCCATCTTTGCAAATCCTAATATTTGCATCAGTGCTAGGTCAGGTGCGAAATGGACAATATCGGTCAACTCCATCAAGTACCTCCTCCCCAAGATTTACAATTTTGAATAATTATAACTCTTATAAAATGTAATGTATGCGTCCGATTGTCTTAAAATGACACACATCACAATATTTTTATTAACACACCGTCTGGTGTGAAGATGGAATATACCGATTCACTCCTTCTGGTACCTCCCCCACAAAAGGTAAAATATTCGAATAACCAAAAACGATTATCCAAACCCAAAATAAGCATATTTCACACACCCCATTATTTCTACTAACAAAAGATCTGATGTGGAGATGGAATATATCGCTGCACTTCTTCTGGTACCTCCCCAACAAAGGGTCAACATTTTGAATATCCATGAAGCTCATAAAACGCGAAATTAACATCCGATTCCATTCAGACTTGACACATCTCAATATTTCTATCAACACAAGATCTGTTGTAAAGATGGTAGAAATTGGATCTTTTCTTCTGGTACCTGCCCCACATATTTTTATCTGTATTAGATGAAGTATGAAAATGGAATACTTCAGTCCACTATATCTGGTGACTCACGCAGATTTAAACATTTTCTAAAAATTATCACATACCTCATATAAAGTGAAGGGAGTAACCTATATAGTCCAAACTTGGCACGTCGCAAGATTTATATCAAATTTATTTATTTAGGTCCAATATAAAATGGACAATATTGGTCCATTCTTTTGGAGCCTAATCCATAGAGGGTCAATAATTTGAAAATCATAACAAAGGTCAAAATATATTTAAATAATCGAACATTGAGGATATACATCTGTCGGCAAAACCGACTGATATTCTTTAAAATATTTCTTCCCGAATTAGATGACATGCGTGCGATTATAGGATATATGGGTTTTATTTTTACGGTGCCTTCCCATAAACCGTAAAAAAATTTCGAAATTTCTCAAAGGTACAAAGCGAACGAAGCATTCGTGTTGGTTCGAACTTCGAGCATCTTAGTACTTTATATTTGGTTCATAATGGAAAATATGTGCCAAAAAACATAGGTTGTCTTCAAAAGTAGTATGTTTCTCTCTTCAAAGGGTAAATTTATTGAAAATCGTAAATTTAAAAAATCAATAAAAAATTAGAAATTTTAAATTGTAGCCAATGCCTCGAAATTTTCTTCCAAGAAATTGCTGTCTAAAAAAAATATTTCATGAACTTTTTCTGCTGAATAGATAAATTAAAAATTTGGACTTAGAATTAGTCGTCAAATATATAGATTTTCGGCTTAAAGAAATAGAGCCTATTTCTGTAGAATGATACGAAACTGAACTCGAAAGAAAACCACCAAATCATTAAGCCTTTTTTGAAATTAAATGAAAATTTAACATTTGAAAACATGAATGGGATTTTCTATTGGGTTCACTTTCGAATTTTCATACAAAAATAGGTCATTAGTTCCTCATTTTAGTAGTCATTTAAGGTACATAAAATTACTTGGCAAACGACTTAAAATATTCCAATAAAATACTACATTTTAGTCAAACAATTAATTGACAGTATCACACATCTTAATTCAATTACAAATGACTTTAGGTCACCATCGAAACTCATTTGATCACAAAAAAAATTTAATAGAAACTAAATTTCCCAATGTTCAATCTGATCATCTATTAACAGGTTTGCGTCTTAAGTCTTTTGT